ATTTACCAATTTTTACTAAATTGCGTATAATCAAGCGATATAGTTAGGGTTTTGTGTGTTTAGCTATTTTTTATAGAAAAATATGTCGATCAATCAATATCAGGGCAAAAATAATGGATGGTTGTGCCTCACTGTTGCAATCATGGGCATGACATCACATGTCATACATTGCATCAATTAGTCGCGTACAACCAACCTAGTCATTGGTGTGCAAATGGAGTGAAACCAAAGTTTCAAACTTTCATAGTGTACCCCACAATGATCTTGTTGGCTACTAGACAAGGATGGATCATATTCAAGGTCATCAGGTAAAGTTAGCTAATACTTTCATTATTAAATATATGTTTTATATTAATTTTTACTAACTATATTCTTATAACTTCACTATATTTTTTATGGACACCATATTGAGGGTTTAAAAACATTAATACTACCACAAGCATATTGGGATTCACAATTGTGGACATCTTGCACAACCATAATTTGTTTCGCAATCGTGGAATGACATCAATCTGATCAGGTCAAGTCACAATTTTGTTTGTTTCAAGGAGTCCCTTCTCCGTCACAAAATCAAGAGATCCTTCACACAATTGACATGCGAGAGTGTTTACGAGAACTAACAAATAAGTCATGTCGTATGGATCAATGTCTGAAACAACAGGCGAGAACTTGTACTAACAAATCTACCAATGCAAGGGTCTTTCTATCACACAAGAGAATACATCGAATGATACACTGTCAATTCTATTTATTTGTTATTTGTATTAGAACTACTTCAAGATCTAAGAAACCAATAATGTGGACGAAACCACTAACGCACATTTGAAACTAGTTCATCCACTACTTCGTCATTTCATATGCCTCCATACCAACTATTCACATGTACTACCTACAGGACAACTTCACCACAACTAACAATAGATGCTAAACAGTATTCTTTTGCACCTAGTTTAGATGAGCTTTTGTTAATTTTTTTTAAAGTAAATCTTACAACACCATCATCTACTCATGCTTACATGGAACCAATGTACTCACCATATTATGATAATGAATGAACTAGTTCATCTGTCTTCCTTCCACATTACATTACGTTACTAAAGCACCCAAGGAACAACCACTGTAAGAAGGACCATCCTAAGAACAACAATCAAGAAGAAATTCATAACAGAATAGATAACGTCCTCATTGTAAAACTAGTTATCATTACAAAGATTAGTTTAAAATTTCTATAATGATTATTGAGTGCATTCATGAATTTTACTTAATAAATTGGAGAAAAGACATTTGTAAATATTTTTTCATTAAATATTGTTTTCAACTATCTAACTTTATAACTTAATTCAAAAATAGGAAAAAAAAAACTAACTATTATATTTAATATTTATATCTAATTATTTAATATTAACAATTATATAACTATTGTAGTGGGTAATAAACTAATTTAAGTTAACAACTAATGAAGGTGCACATATAAACAAATTTTAACATACTAGTCAACAAGGTACACCCATGAACAACCTTTGCCGCATTAATGAACAAATTTCTCCATGTGAACTTTTCAATGCTTCGTTTGTAGTCAATTTAATTTCTTATATGCATTCATTAAGTTCTCACTGCCCAATACTCAAGTCAAAGTAAACAGTATATTTTCACGATAAGACTCGTTTGTATCACACATTAATGCACATTACCTAACATGTTAAGAAAAAGTAACAATCAGGATTATATCCCAAAACATCAACAGTCAAGATTTAATCCACACTGTCCAAGACCAACCTTAGGGTACATGGTATAATATTCAAGATAAGATTTTTTTATATCATGTATTGTTGAAGGTGTCAACAAAAAGTAAAGACCACAGTTAAATCTCAAAGATCAACGATCGACATTTAATACACACTTCTCAATGTCAAAGTCAAGTCACCATTATGTTGCCCAAGGCCCAACTCACAATACAAAGTAGACTAATTTACTATGAGGACATTCTTGTCTACCCAATACACTACCATGACATGTATAAATTTAGGTTTGCTCTTATCATATATTCACTCACTCATCTTGTCTATCAACTTATATGTCCAACCTTTGTTTCTTCTTCTTTTTACTCTAAAAATGGAGATATTTAGCATCTCAAATGTACATTCATTACTTTGAAAGAAAGAATATACACTTCTTTAGAGATTCTCAAACACATCTCAATCAACAGGTTGTATTACCATCAATCAAAACTAATAGGTGATAATTTAATTATATATGATGCTACTAAAATATTTTTTATATTGATGTATATAATATAATTACTTGGAAGTTACAATTCTATTTCGATACTATCATTAAATTATATGTTAAATATACAAGATCGACTAATAAAATAATTATGTTTCTAAATCCACTTGTTTCTACCTTTTTCACAAACCAAAACAACATCTCTTCCTCTAAAGCTATAATTTACTTCGATGATCTTCTAAAACATGAAAAGTTCAAATGGCTAATACAATGGTAATTCAAACTAGGGGTGTCAATATGGGTTCTAACCAGTGAGTCAACCCGGCTCACCACGAGTTCGAGCCGGGTTGGGTTCAATTTTTTTATTTCTACCGATTATGGGCTAAAAATGAACCTGGCTCACTTAACCCATGGGTTAAACGGGTTCGAGCCAGGTTATGGTGGGTTGACGCAACCCACCATTAATTTTAAATTTTAAAAATAATTATAATAACATATTAACCTTAATTAATCATTTATTTTAAATTTTTAAAATAATTATAATACTTTAGTAATCCTAATTGATGTTATCCTGTTTTACTTCTACCCTACATTGTTGACTGTCGTCACAAGTCAAACTCTCACTTAAAATTGTTATCAGTTGTTCGTTCCACCATTACGTTTGTCGCTGCACTTTAGTCATTTGTCTTATTATCTGTCCACCGCACCACTACACCATGTTCATTGTATTGCTTTCAAATGTAAGAATTTGTTTCATAACCTAAACCACTGTATTGCTTTCAAAGGTAAAAATTTGTTTCATAACCTAAACTATTGGACTGATGAATCTTTATTTGAAAATTGTAGCATCTATACATTATTTGTTGTTTGTTATTGATTTATACGTATATCTCTTTAATATATGAATTAGTATGAAATCTGAAACAATACATCAAAACGTCAATATAAATTGTATTGGTGATGATTTTATTATTAATGAAAAATCCAATGAGTCAATTTCAATTAATAACGAATATACTGATGTTGAGAAAGAAAGGAAGAAAACATAAGTTTCTACATCCAAAGTTTTTATATAATTTAAAAAATTAAAAAAATATGGGTTAGTGAGTCAACCCACCAACCCGTGGTGGGTTGAACCAGGTTGTAAAATTTCGACTCGCCAAAAAATGAGCCAGGTTGAGCTCATCTATTTTCAGCTCAATCCGTGACTCACTTTGACACCCCTATTCAACCCACATGATCTTTCACTCAACTATTTGAAAATATTATTGAAGCACTTAATTATAGAGATCAAACAATTACTTAAAATCAACTACCTTGAGTATGAAACCAAAGATTATTTACTATTCTTAAAGAATAAAATTGACGTTGACGTGACCTACATAATCAACCACTCAACAAAACTCAAACACCCAAACATGGAATATGAATAACTAAAATAACAAGACTCACATTAAATAACTTACAAGATGATTTTTCAATTATTTTAGTTTTATAATAACATATATTATTTTAACTATGCATCTTTAATTTATAATCTTTTAATATTTTATACCATCTATTTAAATATCTACAAATATATATATAATATATATAAATATATATATATATATATATATATATTTATTAAATATAAAATTATATAAATTTGTATTTATTAAATTTTAATATATACATATACATATATATATATATATATATATATATATATAGAATACATGATAATAAAAAAATCGTAGTTTAAAATTGGATTCTCGAAATCGAATTTTGAGGGTTTAAGTATCGTGGTGTGAACCCTTACTAACAACTATAGTTATTGGCTAAGTGGCTATCACTGCTGCGCTCATCCTTTGGTATCGAGGCGAGGACGCGCACTCGATTCTGCCGAGGGACGGAATTGAGGCAGCGGGTGGTAAGTCCCCACGAGATTCCCGAAGAGCGGGGAATCGAGTCGCGGAATCGTGGTGGGACCGAGGGTTTAAGTATCGTGGTGTGAACCCTTACTAACAACTATAGTTATTGGCTAACGACTACGCGCTCATCCTTTTCTGGAACCTAAAACTAATTTTGACCTTATATAATAAAGAGGTCTATTGGGATATACCCATTTCAATAATTAAATATTTTTTAATATTTAAAAAAAACACACACACAACTTGAAAGATCAATAATGAATTTAAAATATTTTAAATAGATGGAATTTGCATATTAAGTTAGTCAAATAAGTGTTTCTTTAGAATTTATAGTATATTTGAATTAAAATGTTGATAAAAAAAGGTAGAAGTGTAGATAAATTAGGTTGGGTCGATTTTGATAAATTTTTAGTTTAAATTTAATCTAACTCATTCTTAATTAGATTTCAAACAAATTACTACTTTCAAAAATATTTTTAAAGATATATAATTTCAAAATATATATTTAACTAATAAAATAAAATAAATATTAATATAATGTTTTTTATTTGATAATTTTAGTCGAATTTAAATAAGTTGAATATGAAGATTAAACAAATATAAATCTCATCTATCAATTTATGAGAATAAAGATTGGATTAACTTGATTAAAAAAAGAAAACACTAAACACCAAAGTAGATTGTTTTTTTTTTAATGTGGTTAAAAAAAAAAACTATACATAAAACTCCCCTGTTCGGATATGAAATATGTTATTTTTATTTTTCTGATAAAAGGTAGTACTTATTATAAATGCAAGTTTACTCCTCCAAAGGTAAGTACGGGTGAAATTGCAGGACCCTGTGTGTAGTCTCCAAACAAACATGGCGAAAAAGGCAAAAGGGTCTCACTCTACTTCTTCGGCCTCTGGCGCTGCCGGTTCGGGGTACCCATTTCTTTTCATATTCTCTTTCTGAATCTCCATTTCTTCCTCTCTTCTTCTCGCCGTTTCACCTTTCTATTCAATTTCTCTGCGGTCCCCAATGCAACCCAGAAGAAGGAATGATCAAATAGCAGAATAAAGTTTTGGTTTTTGAATTTTTTAAAAGAAAATTTTATATGCATGTGATTTCTCTCATTTGGGTCAATGTGTTTGTCATTTAAGTGTTGTTTTCTTTGGATAAGTTTGCTCCCTTTGCAATTCAACATGCAGTTGTTAAGGGAGGATTTTCTGTGAAGAAAGAGACAATAAAATATAAATATTGGGTGAGATTCTATCGTCATTTTTCCTGTGTTGCATTTTACAAGTTTTTTGGATTGTTTCAAATGCTGGGAAACTGAAGCTGGTAGTTTGAGAATACTCTTTATTTCTTTGGATAGAGTTTTGCTTCCCTTTTAAAGACTGTAATCAAACATTTAACTGTTCAAAAGGTGAGGATAGAAAGGTTAAATGGATGATAAAAGTTGGGTGCGATTCTGTTGTTGATTTTATGTGATGCCTTAAGACTTTAGACCAGAAACTGACTACATTGATGACATTGTGAAGTTCTACTGGCTCTACATGTTTTTACTCCTCTGCCTTAAGGTGTCGGTCTTTGGGAAGTATATCAGTATGGGTGGGATTATGTTGTTGCTTTTTATGTAATTGCTTCAGGTGTTGTGCTTTTAGGAAGAGAGGGGGTTGATAATTGAAGATAAATATGTTATTCTGAAATAGTTTCCGTAACTAAATGTTATGTCACAATGGATTTTTCAGTAAACTAGTGTTGAGGATTAAATCAAATGAGGGAATCAAGAGATCGGTGCGGCAGATTAATTCAAGAAAGAAACCCAAAGCAAAGCAAAAGAAGAACAAGCGGAAGTTTGATGCTATGAAACCAAAGAAACCTCCTACGGCTTTCTTCTTTTTCTTGTACAGCTACTTTTTCTTTATTTGGTTACATGTAATCTCTTATGAGGTGTTAGCTATTCTTTGTATTTGTGATGTATTATGATTGTTTGTGGAAAATGTTAATTTTATCAAAAACATGGCTAGTTTCTTGTATGTGTTTTTTAGATATCTGGTAATTTTTGTTTGTATGTTGAGTTTCTGAAATATTAAGCTTTCTTGAAAGGTAACAATATATTATTGGTTCATTATTAGAATGAACAAACTATGATTGATGCTATATGCTTACTTTCTTTTGTCATTGAGTTGATCCCAGTAGTTACCTTTGGAGGTAATGTCGTCTCTAAAGTAGATTAGATTCATTCTATTTCATGCATCTTCACATTTTAATGTATGCAGGATTGAAAGAAGAATGTATTTAGCTTTAGAGGCATAATGTTGAGGAGGGTCATTGTTTGATATTGGCATATATATATATATATATATGTGTGTGTGTGTGTGTGTGTGTGTGTGTGTCAGTTTTGAATGCATCACCTCTTTATGTTCAATAGTAAAAAAGACCATTCATCTTTAGACATGATTGTTGTGACATTTAAATATGGTTTTCTTGTGATACCGTCCTTTCCTTACTTCTAGTTTGTTTTATTGTTCTATGTTCAACTTCAGTATATTGCTATGTGCTTTATATGCAACACTGAACCTTGCTCAGTTGCCATATTTAACAACCAATTGCTTCTTTCTTATATGGAAATTTCTATATTCAACATTATTATGTTTATTGGAAGTTTTGTTTCATTCTTAAGGGAGGATTTTCGTAAGGAATTTCAAGAGCAGAATCCAGATGTAAAGTCAATGCGTGATGTACGAATAGATTCCATTCTATGAGCATTTCTTCTAATTTAGTTTATATTTTTAATTTCTCACCAAGCAATATTGTTGCACAATTGATCATTTACAATTTTTCAATTTCTTAAAGGAAAATGTAAAAGTTGAACATCAATTTTTAAAATTTTCCTGTTGTTTTAAGAGTTAGATGGAAGTTTTGATACTTTTCTTAACGGCTCTATTATTATCATTTGCAAATTTATGTAACCTTTTTTTTTTGTTTTATTCCATCCTTTGTTCATTCAGATTGGCAAGGCATGTGGAGAGAAGTGGAAAACAATGACTTATGAGGTTAGTTTTATTTCGTAGCCTCTCCTTTTCTTATTGACTCGAATTGCATTATTATGATTGTGATGTCCAATGACTGAAAACTAAGTAAACTATCATGTAAGGAAGGACAACATTTTTGTTAAATTTTGAAATTAATTGTACTACTTGTGCATTTCCGGGCTGATATACTAGTAATAAAAGTGGTATATTTACTGTTAAAAACGGAGTCTAGATCCTTACAAAAATAGCAAATGTGGAGAATAAAAGATAAATCTAGAGTTATGTATGCAGAAGCATATAACCTCTAGCCTAAACCCATTTCCTTCCAATTCATGCTCCCCATGCACTACCTATATTTCCCTCTTATATTCTCATTTGTTCCAGCTGAATTCCTTCCCGGTATTCCTTGCCAGCTCAGCATTCAGTTATGCAATACGCTTAACAACATGAATGTTTCCTTTATTTCCGTCTCTGTACTCCTCATACAGGTGTTCATCCTTCCACTTTTTGTCCTTTTAGCATATAACTCTAATGAAGAAGTAGACCTGTGTCCTCTGTAGCATTCTGGGCTCAACTAAGATTTAATGCAATATTAAGTTAAGATACTATGGTCAAGATTATGATCTTAAATTGTCTTATTGGATACATGAAATTCAGTTCTCTGCTTCAGTTTTAGAAAAATTATATACTCAGAATTGATCACAAAAAAGAATCATTTGAAATTATTTTTCTGTTGTTAAACATAGCGGGGCCATGGCATCAATGGAAGAATGGCATGTTGAACTTTTGCCAACCATCATAGGCAATTTGTGAAGCAAAGCCCACTATGGTTGTGCCATAGGCCAGAAAATGGTGTGTTTATGTTGTTGAATTTTGGCCATCTGCCCCTCCACCTTTGTTAAGACTAGTTTGATTCTCGGTTGCATTGGAAATGGTATCTTGTTATGCATGTAATTCACCTGTTTACATCACAGAAAGTTGAATTAGTCCTTGGTCAGACCTGACTGCGTGCATTTTGTATTATTGTGATCATCCTGTAATTCATGTATCCAAAAATGGAAAAGGCACAGGATTCTGAACCAGTTGTCTGTGCTTCCACCAGGCATTGGGGAGTCAGACTATCGAGGCATGCAGAGTTAACATAACTGCTGAGAATTAAACTTCTGCTTGTGTTAATTTAATTATTAGTTACATAATAGTCAGTGTGTATGGCAAAGCGGCACTCAACTATTGTGTATTATGTTCCTTCTTTTGTTCTTTATTTGTGTTTTGGGTAGAATGTTGAATTGAACTTGAGAAACACAATCTCTTTTGTTCTAGATCATGTGACATTATGTGTGATCACTGTTTTTTTTTTTCTCATGGCTTGATCAAAATAGCCTGTGGTTGTTTTGTCCATGCCTTGTAAGAAATCCTAACATTACATGGTTTAGGATATAATTTTATATTCAAAAGTTAGACCACATGTACAAAGGTAAATGAGAGTTACCATGTAAAACATGCCATTGGGTCCCCTTTTCTTGCAAGGATAAAAAAAGTATGAATACATTAATCCATTATTAACTGCGTAGTAGATGGCTATTAGGATGCTATTGCAAGCTGGTTTTAGTCCCATGTTTGGAAGGCCAAGGACATTGGAGGAATTGGTCAAAAGGTATCTCATGGTAAATAACACCGATAAAACTTTGGTCTTTAACAATGCTAAATGAAATTATGTGATCCATGTAGCTAACCCCACTAAGTGAAGCAAGGCTTTGTTGTTGATGTTGTTGTTGTTGGAAGGATTCTAATGGCGTTTATAAAGCCTTCGGGGTCTCCAACTACTACTATGTTTTGCGTTTTGATTCTGGTGAAGTTCGTATTAGCGGCCATACTCATTTGCTGGTGTTCATTTTAAATCAATATAGAAATTGTTTTTGAAGTTTGTTTCCTGTTTGGAGCATCAAGTTAGCATTTAGTTTATTCGTTTATCTCTCCGATCGCAAAAATCATTCAGATGAATGCTATGTTAACAACACTTGTATCTGCAGGAGAAGGTTCAATACTATGATGTAGCAACAGAAAAACGTGCAGAATTTGATAGAGCCATGGCAGAATATAACAAGAAAATGGTAAGCAATCTGTCATTTTCGTGTGTAGTGAACTGACTCTTATTTGGCCAGTTATGAATATACAATTTATATGCTACCACTTGGCAGGAAAGTGGAGAGTTTGAGGAAACTGATGAAGAATCAGAGTTTGATGAGTAAAACAACCTTATTTTTCTCTTACAACGTACGGTTGGATCTGTATTGATTGAAACTACTTGGACAACCAGTTGTACATTCAGTTATTGTCTGTCCTTGTTGATAATTATCATTTCTGTGTCGTGTAAATTATATTAGTTGTATTTAGATGTTTAAAATGGCAATTTGGGCATATATGTTGAGATATCAAATACTACTAAAACGCTGATTAGAGAGAAAACATGACTGGTGCACTTCCTTGATTCATTTATGTTACAATATTTCCTTGTTTCAACCTAGTATTTACAAATACCTTCAATTATTACATTCTTGGATTTTAGTATGTAACACCTTTTTAGTGTTTACATGTTGGGAGTGGGGTGCTTCAGACTCTGAAGTTCAGATATGTGTTAAAACATTAATTTAATGTTATATACATTTAAATGTATAACTATGGATTATAGAATTAATGTATTATATAACTACAATTAAGATATATTTTATAATATATTTTCAAAATAAATAATATTAATACAAATCATTTTATGCAGAACATTACTCCTTGAATTGCATCAAAATGATTCTTTATAAATGAAAATAATTTCCTAAACCCCAACTGCATAAAATGAGATGTAATAAACACTCGTAGACCTTGTTTGCTTCAGATTACGTTACATGATTTTTATATAAATATTTATTATATTTTATATTTCTCTTATTATAATATTAATAAATCATTTAAAAATAACATTAAAGTAATAAAAAATAATAATACATAAATAATATTGAATTTTTTTAATCTAATTTAAATAGTTTTACTTTTCATTGACTTTTATTTACTTCTCTCTCTTTTTTCACTCTTACTTTTCATCATTAATCGAAACAAAACATTAATATATAAATTTTTAATAATAATAATTCTATCACGCGCACAAATGTCACATCTTGTGTTAAAACCTATTAAGAGACATAAAGACTTACTTAAGGAAAGTTGGCAACTTCTCCGGCCATGCGTTTATTTATTATTTATTTATTGTCAAACTTTCTTTTTGCTCTTTTCACTGTCGACTATTTTTTTATACCCTCTTCAAATATCAATTTTCATTACCCTAATTTGTTTATTCACTGTGATAACTCAATATGCGAGGAGAAAAAATGAGTGGAAAAGGGGAAGGTGAAGGTGAGAAAAGTTTGAGTATTTAAAGAAATCCAAAAAATTAAGCTTGGAGTAAAAGCGTTGTAAATAGCAACTTCGCTTTCTTTATTCCATGGACCTAACCAAGAAGGCCCAATGAAAGAGCATTTTCTTTTCACCCCAATAACATCAGCTTACACTCTCTTTCTTACAAAAATGGTAATCTATCACGTTCCAGAATAATTCAAAACGAAAGTCTTACCTTTTTCTTTAATCTGTTAAAATATGAATTTCTTTATAGCATGCAAAACCATCTGGGTACAGGAAAGAACAACGAAGAATACATAATTCTATTCAACTGAGAAACTTCACTCATTAAAGAAGAAAATTTCCAAAAAGCTCACCTTTTCTTTTGATTCTTTGACACAGTGGGATCAACATCCACACAGGAACACAAGTTTCCATGGTCCGAAATATAAAGGACAAGAAATATGGAACCTTACTCTGCGTGTTTTATTCACTACCTACACGTCCTTCATTTGTTTCTTGCAAAACCAACTACTGTCTTTGTGTTTCCACTTCATGAGTAGGGGATGTCTGAAATGATGTCTGCAATGAATTAGCAATGCTTCTGACCTCCGCAATCATAGCAACCACATCATTGAGTCTATTAACTGCAGAGCCTACACCCTGTGATTAGAAACACTGGTCAATAAATTGCCTCCATTACATTGGTACAGTGAGGTTTATGAGTTTATGATTGCTGTAAAAATTAGATTAGGAAGAAATTCAATAATTCCATACCACACCAGCTGCCCCAGCTGTTATAGCCATAGGTGCTGTGACAGCGCTTAGCCCTGAGGAGCACATCACAGGGATCTTGACAGCTCGTGATATAGAATATGCTGCTGCTAAAGTTGGTGTTGCCTACAATCACCAGAGATTAGAAATTTGATAATTTAAAAAAGGATTTGTCTCATAGTCAACTTTCGTTTACCAATGCAACAACAATCGGCATGAATGTAAAAAATCATTTAACTTGTAATTGCTTTCAGGGCTGAAATGTAGTTTCAGAATGGAGTTAGGGGAAAAAAGAATTAGTCAGCTGTTGTGAATACCAGAGGAGTAAATAAATTTGAGCATATTGAACAAAACAGGTCAATATCGGAATAACCGATCATCTTTTGAACTTCTGTAACTACAAGAGCAAATGCAGCAGATTAAATATTTGTTCAGACTCTAACATGTTGATATATGTTGTGGAATGTCGATGAGGTGCTCAATCATCTAGCTAATGTCCTGTACAGTACAGTGTTTAAGCCATTTTTATTGCCACTAACATTCTTCAACTGAGACTTTCATTTTCAAATCTCCAGCAATAAAGATGTAAGCAAAAGGGAAAAGACAAAAGTAAATCAAATATTTTTTTCTGGTTACCTTCTCAATCAAACCCATAACACCAGATTTTGTGGGATTAGAACATTTTCCTCCTTCAGTTTGAATAATATCTACACCTACTAGTTCCAGTGACTCTGCAAGCTTGACCTGTTAAGGGTATAGAGTTTTTATTTTCTGCACAATTAAATATTGATACTATCAGCATAACTATGCACTCTGATAGTCAGAATGCTGGTTGTAACCTGATCAGGGAGGCTTAGTGTGTGAGGAACAGTGACAGACAAGACTACCGATGGAAGTATCCTCCTTGTCTCCTTTGTCAGACCTAGAATCTGCAAAGGATAGATTATTAAAATGCAGAATCCAAGTGGAAAAGCTTCTATGTATATGCGAAACTAAAATTAGTTATAAAACTCTAACTAATTATATTTAAGAGTAAGGGAAATTCAGATGGAACTAATTTTAAGAGAGACCAGAGAAAGGCCGAACATTGTGGCTACAATTACAAAATATTTTATTAACTTGAACTAAAAAAACAATGAATGAGTTTCCCAAATACTATATAATATATATCTTTCTAAATGCCTTGTTCTACTATTACAGTTTTCTGCTTATATTACCTTTAGATACTATGTCTCTATTCAATACAGATAAAAAGATATAAGGTTACATCTTTCTTATTAGATAACAAATCCTATTTGGAGTATATTCCACGATCATTTTCGGCATTTGATGCTCACAACCCCTCCATTGCATCTCTATACTCTTTATATCAGGTTGAAAAACATCACAAATTTGATATTTAATAATGAAAAACACTCTTTACCTTTTCTGGAGTGAAAACTATTCCCTTCTCATAGAATGAATCATAGTTTCCAATCTCAACCTGTCAATGCCATTAATCATGTTAGGCAAAAAATCCCACAAGGACCATTTTAATATCAAATACGTTTATGCTAACTTTCATGATGTATGAGATGACTACAGTATAATCTTGGAACAAGGCAAGTAGGTCAAACCATTAGGGCTCCTGCTTCAACTGCAGCTGGAAATGTTGCAGGATCTACAGAAGAAACACAAACCTGCAAGAAAGATCGATCAAAAATGGTTGAAGGAGGAAAGAATCAAAACATCAAATTAATCTCCTGAATACTCTTGCACATCCCTAAAAGGAGTTAAAAATGCTTACTTCCATAAGCTAATAATCTTCAGTTCCTATTTAGTTTATCTCCTCGTTGGGACTAAAATGCTAACATACATTTATGTATATGAGATACTCAGCAGTGCCCTTGGAGAATATTGGGATTTTCTCTTCTAGAAAATGAGGATGAGGTCTCAAATTTTATGTCCCTAAATAGTATTACTTATTGAAATGAAAAGTCTGACTAAACAGGTTGATGATGAGAAGACAAAGTACATAAATGCCTTGAAAGACACAGTCTATATACAATTTATGTATGCTTATTCAATTAAAGATTGACGCATAATCAAATTCAAGGCATAAAAATTGTGTGGTGCAATGATTTTTGTATTTCTATGATAATATGACTGTCACTTTTTAATGGTTTAGTTTCCACAGAGCTTGTACAACAGTGTATACTCCAGACTTTAGCCTCCGAAACTTAGTAACCTATGGACTGCCGTATCAATATTATTTTAACAGGACAAAGTGAAACAAAACATTGCACCATTTTCCTCCCTTCACCTTTGGGTAGAAGGGCAGTCCAGAGGAGGAAACATACCATTGAACAAGAAATGCAGAAGCAGAGATATATCCTCATGTTGCCTATGCACTAGTAAATGTAATTGTATAGCACATTCAAAATATCATCTATACAACCGTAAAATCTTAGTTGGACTCTTCTTAGGAATTATATGGTGTGCAATGCCTTCACTTTGGATTTTGTTTTTTAAGAATTCTTGTATTAAAGTCTCCTGCAAATGCAAATTTAACTTTTGGGTATTTATTGCTTTCTTTAATTGCTTTGATAAATGTCTGATGCTAGAACAAAGAGACCTACAATCTAGGGGGATTTCCAAAACAATTAAGGGAAAAATTATGGTCATAAATTTCTAACTAGTTTGGCATTGATTCTTTAACATGCAAAGTATAACTGATATACGTGTTCAAAATCAACTATCTAAATGATTATGATATCCCATGATTGTACTAAATTTAAGGCTAAGTTAATTTCCTAATACCCTCTGCACTTGTCCACATGCAAACCATAAAATTATAGTGGCTAAGACATCTATAAGAAAAGTTAGAATATACCGGACGAGAAGTTAAGCCGATGGCTAGCTTTACCAACTCAGGGTCACATGCTATATCCACGTGAGTTGCTCCACCCTATACGCACAAGGGATTACAATTCATACACATTAATATTAGTATGTTAGTTTGTATTGTGATGTGAATATTTTACAGAGAAAGCATGACAAGTTACCATCTAACAGGATCATTCTAAATTTCAAGAGTCAGCCAGCAAGTAGAATAACTCTTATGCATAGTTATTGGGGTTATTATCTATATTTTAGAACAAAACCAACGCAAGTATTCATGATCCTATTTTTCCATGAAACCTACAAAGCTGAAGAAACAGAGAAAACGTAACAAGAGAGAAGTAAAGAAAACCTTGTCAGCAGCAGTGACAACCGAGGCAACATTGTCTTTATTGAAATTCTGCAAGCCTGAGATAATCTTCGAAAGAAAGCAAATGTTTGTTAACATGCATGAAACAAATACACCAAAAAATTACATACACAATGTAGGAAGCAACATAGGCTAGGACATAATATTGTAGCCATCTCACTAAACCCTCATTAAAACACCCAAACTCCCTTTTTGCCCCCATGATTTTAGAACATTGAGAAAATATCACATTTTTCTTTCAAAATTCTAAATTTTCAGTTGAACCCTGAAAGCTTTATTATCACCATACAAGCATGTTGAGCACAAATATTACCCTTTAATGAACATCAAACAAACCGACCAAAAACACCATACACATGGAGACAAAAAAACCTACATTTGGATGAAGAAAAGCAACAAAATGAGTGGATGGAAGAGAAAGAAGGAAATGGATGAATTTTGTTTTAATTTCTTACCTTGAGAGCTCTACGTTCGTTGAAGTACTTCAAGACATCTTCTCTGGTGGATGAGAGTATGGCTTTGGTAGTAAAGCAGATTCTTCTTTTGAAGGGTAGAGAGTATGGCCTTGAAGTTGCATCTGCACCCAGCAGAGGGTTCAGGTTTGGCTTTAGAGTGGTGAGATGAGAAGAAGAAAGTGGTGTCCATGTTAAGGAATGCATGCTTGTCTATTGTGTAATGCCGAAGATGTTATCAGTGGGAAGCAAGATTGGAGTGAAGAGCAGAACACAACAGATAAGATTGGTGGTCTGGAAGCATTCTTTACTCTGTCATGTTCGTCAGATATTTTGTCTCCAACATTTACAATACACACTCACACACAATAAAATGTAATTTTGTAAACACAAAATCATGAAAGAAAGTTATTAATTAAGATATAAAATTCAAAATAGTGTTGTTCGTCCTTTTCTTTTAGTTTTTTTTTTCGGGCTATTTAAATTCAGAAATGTTACTTAAACACCATCTAAACACACCCATTTTTATTAGTCAAAATCTTTTAATAATGATTAGAATTCATGGATAAAATTTTTTTTATCACTATAAAGAATCTCTTACATCATTAATCTTCATTAAAAGATTGAGTTGTATTTTTTTGTAAGATTTTTCCTCTAACTGTATTTTTTTTTATCCACAAAACTCAAATTCGATAATTTATGTTAAAAAAATGTCATTCTAATCAATTATTTATTTTCAATAACTCTCTTGTCATTTTTAAATAAATTTAAATCATTAAAAACATATATTAAGAAAAACGCTTTATACAATTTGTTATCACTTAATAAAAATTGGGTTGATTTGTGTGTGCAAAATTGATTACTTTCACGTGGCAATTAAGTGTAAAATGATATTCATAATTTAGAAAAAAAATTATAAGATTTTTCAACGTTCAATTTTAAGGTGATACAAATATAATAAATATTTTTAATCAACATGAGTGAATAATGAATAAAGATGTTTTAACTATTTATTTATTAATAGAATAATCAAACATATAGTAATATTCATAATTTTATTTAGATTATTTTTTTAGAATTAAGGTTGTTAAAATAGTTATTGTAATGTTAATAAATGGCGTGGATTATTGTTTGAGGTAAGCAAATTTAAGTTAACATTTAAGTAAATTTAATGAGTTTTAGGCATTGATTATAAGTTAAATTTGACCTCGGATGTAAAACAATTTGAATTAAAAATATTATCATTTAATTTATTTTTGAACTCGATTTATATGAGATTTTGTTATTTTAAATCTTGGATGTATTTTATCTTGAGATGAATAACAAATTACCAGTTATGTGCATACACAAACTCTTTATCTAAAAATCATTTTATTTCTTTTATACAATATTGTAGAGTTTGTTATTCATTTTGTATAGGCTATGCTTTGATAGAAATTTTAGTTCCATCAAATAGAGATTTATGAAGAACTTAGAGTAAGTACCAAATCTTCTTAATCAAAATTATTTATATTTGGGTTGAATTCTTAATAAGAATTGCTTTATTGATAGATTATGGAAAAATTAGTATAATATTAAATGAAGATCCACTTATGAATTACAAAGAATAATAAGTATTAATATTAAAAAATTGAATTAAAATAAGTCTTTTGTATTTTTCTGATATATTTTAGTTAGTTATATAATTATATTATTATGATTACGTAATATATAAGAACTATAATAAAATATAGTTTAATTGCTATATCTTATTTTTAAATATTATTAAATTGTTTGTTAATAATAAATTATATACAAAATATTTAAATTATAATTAGAGTATATTAAAAACATGTAAACACCATTATTAAATCATATTTAATGAGAATAATGTTGAGGTTTGAATATAAAATATTTTAAAATAATAATATTAAATTGGGATTCAATTAGTTGATTTTTTTATATTTAATTTAATCAATGTAACGTCTTTTTGTATATTTGAAGTAAGAGAAGTATATTTTATCAATTATATATATAATATATTTTTAAAAATTATTTTAGTAAATTTTTCATTAATTTATTTACAAACTAAATATATTTATTGTTTATACACATAATTTGATCGTAAAATATAAAATTCTCTTATATAAAATAATTTTTTCTCTCTCTTTATTCATTGTCTTTTTTTTTCTCTTTATCCCATTTTATTTTTCTAAATAAATACTCTAAATTAGAATTGGATAAAAACATGTTAAAGAAATTTTTTAAAATTAATATTAAATCATTTTATTTATGATAATAGTAAATAATTAATTTAAAATTATTTAACCATATAGTTAAAAATGTGAAATCAACGAATTTTAATATTGTCTTATTCTTCTAAGAAAAACAATGAAAGTAAAATAATTGATTTGCGTCATATTAACTAAATACCACAGTTTAAAATTTCATGCGGTTCACCTAAGTTGAAGGATTATGAATTTTGTGGACCAGACCCATTATTTTAACAAGTAATTTATAGATACTTAACTAACAAATTATATTTAGAGCATGGAGTGACGATAAATGTAAAGTATATCACATTATTAATTCAATATTTTATTAATTTTTTTAAAAATAAATGTTCAAAATTCATTCCCTCTTTACTTTCTTTTTATTTATTTTGAGTTGTTATTTTTATTAAGTTATTTGAAATTACAAAAAATTTAAACAATTTATTATATCATTCCTTTAATAAAAAGTTATTTTAAGTAATTAATACTTTATTTAAACCTATTAATAAAAAAATTTCATTATAATACGTTCATTTAAAATTGAATAATTTATTATAAATTTTATATTATTAATTTATTTTATATTTTCTAATTTTTTTTCCTTTTTTTATCTCTACTACTACTATTATTATTACTATTATTTTTAAGTGTTTTATTTTTATTCTTTTTTATGTGCCTTTTTAATTATTTTTTCATAAATAACTTAAAATAAAATATAATTGTTTTTTAAACTATACCCTACAACAATTAAAATATGTTTGTTTATTTTTAATATAATAGCATACTTTATTCTACATCTAAATGAAATACAATGTTTTGAATAAAATAAATATTTATGTATGTTTTAAGTTAGTTTATAATAAGACAAATATTTTAAAGATTACGTATAATTTATTTAATTAATTAAAAAATATTTTTTTGATAATACTATCGAATTTTAATATTTTTTACCATAAATATTATTTAAAATATTTATTTCATTCGAATATAATTTGAATATACACTACAAAAAAAAGCCTATTACCTACGGATAAAAATCCGTAGGTAAATTTTACATTACCTACGGATATTACCCACGGATGAAAATCCGTAGGTAAATTGTACATTACCTACTGAATTACTATCTGTAGGTAAATTATATTAAACTAAAAGAATTGTCACTAGCAAGAATCGAACCCAATACCTTAAAGTTGAAAACTGATACTCCAACCACTAAACTATTAGGATATTCTAATAATAATTTACAACTAAATTATACTTATATTTATTCGTGTAAATATATAAATATATAAATATAAAATATAAAATATAAAATATAAAATATAAAATATAAAATATAAAATATAAAATATAAAATATAAAATATAAAATATAAAATATATAAATATAAAATATATAAATATATAAATATATAAATATAAATATATAAATATATAAATATATAAATATAAAATATAAAATATAAAATATATAAATATATAAATATATAAATATATAAATATATAAATACATAAATACATAAATACATAAATACATAAATACATAAATACATAAATACATAAATACATAAATACATAAATACATAAATACATAAATATATAAATATATAAATATATAAATATATAAATATATAAATATATAAATATATAAATACAAATATATAAATACAAATATATAAATATATAAATATATCAAAATATAAATATATTTTATATTTTATATTTATATATTTATATATTTTATATTTATATATTTTATGTTTATATATATTTTATATTTATAAATATTTTATATTTATATATTTTATATTTTAAATTTATATATTTATATATTTACACTGGATAAATATAAATATAATTTATTTGTAAATTATTATCAAAATATCCTAATAGCTTAGTGGTTGGAGTATCAGTCTCCAACTCTAAGGTACTTGGATTCGAATCCTGCCAATGACAATTCCCTTAATCTAATAATAATTTAAAGTTTTGAAAATATAATAAATAAAAAAATATAATATAAAGGGGAGGGGGTCCTAGGTAATAAATAAAAATATTTTGTTTTAGGTGAGTGCATTACCTACAGATTATATTCCGTAGATAATTACCTACTGACCAAATTACATACAGATTTTACCCGTAGATAATAAGCATTTTTTTGTAGTGATATTTAATAATTTATTTATTTATTTAAAATACTGTGTTTTATTTAGATGTAGATTAAATTATATTATTATTTAAAATAAATCGTCCAATATAATTTAAAATATTTTGAAGCATAAATTTTTAAAAGCTAATAAATTTTTCATCCTTATGATTGGTAAAGGAATAATTAAAAGAGAAAAAGAAAGAAGAGTAAACTGTAGATAAAAATGTACGAGTGTGTATATTAGAATACATTAATTTTAGTTTCATTTTACTTGTCAAACAACAAATAATAAAAAGGAAATAAGGTTTTTCACTGAAAACCTCTTCCAATGTGTTGGGTAGATAAGAAGGTGAACAAAAATTGAATTGAGGTAAAAATATAAGTTATTTAATAAATTTTTGGTTCAACACGGAAGTGATTTCAGTTTAGTGTTGTAAAATGGTTGGTTAGGGTATTCACATTCAACCATAAAAATAAATAACAGGTTTAATCCATCTAAAAAGATATATTGTGTTTTTATTTCATTTACTTCATACATTATTATTTAAATTACCCTCCTACCATATATTTAAATAATATGTATAATATGCAAAAGCAAAAGTATTCTCAAACAAACGTCAAATTAAACTAGAAGCGTGTAAACACGGAACCTGAACCGCATCATCATCGTATCTTCTAGAAAGTGTAACCAGCAAAACACAACAAATACTTATCTCACAAGTTTAGAATATGAAAAACACCGTCCGATAAGCTACCAAACCCGACAACATTTCTTACGTTAAATTTAGGACTAGGTTTTGTATATGTTAAAAAAATAAGAAAGAGTTAGAGTGGAAGGATCCATGAATGTGAAAGATTGAGAAAGAAGTTGATTAGAGAAGTGGAAGAGAGATAGATTACAGGAAAGTCAGAAGCGGCAGCCACAGATGAGGTAGAAGAAGGCAGCGGTGAGAATGAGATAAACGGCCTCGAAGAGAGAGAGAATCTTGAAAGCGACGTCGTTGAAGAAAGAAGCAGGCAGCGAAAGCCTCTTCCACTTGAATGCAGCACCCAGGTACTTCCACCTCAGCGACTCTCCCTTCAGCCTCTTCAAGAAGCTTCTCTTCTTTCCAACCATGTCCCCTACTGATCAAGAGAGAAACGGTGGGGGTTGTGGATTTTCTTTTACCGGGGTTGTGGGCTTTCTTTAGCAGAGGTTGTGAGTTTTGTTTCGGCGGGGCTTCGTGGTGAGAAGAGAGGAAGAATACGTATTTATATATCAAGGGTTGGTTGCGTTTGGTTGGGTGGTTTGAGTTTGAAATGGGAAGAGTGGAACGAGAAGTTGTCCGCGTTTGGATGCATCGTGGTGGGGGCCACGTCTAGTCCAACGTGGGTGCTGGTGCCAGCTAAGGTGTGAAATGGAATCAAACCTAATACTGCCAAGTGGGAACTCTCTGTCTCTGCATCTTTAAAGATTGAAACCAAAGTTTCTTTAATAACCCTCCATCTTTGTTTTGGATATTATTAATCATGTTCTGGAAACTCATTTCAAAAGTTAGAAGTTCTTGCTTTTATATTTAAAGGTTAAATATGTTTTTTTAAAAACATTTTTTCTTTTTAGTTTATGATTAATCTATAAAATTTTTTAAATTTTTTTCAATTTTATTGTAACAAAAGTATAAAATATTATTAAATTTAGGTCTAAAATATTAAAATTATATTTTTTATTATTTTACTAATTTTATTAGGATACAAATGATTATTAAATATTAAATTTGGATACGAATAAGAAATAAAATCACATATTAAAAAAAATATATGATGATTTAATTCATCAATTTAAAGAACAAGGATAAAAACAAATTACAAAAAAAAATAGAACAAAAGGTAAAAGAATAATTTTCTCTGTTAATTTATATGTTCTAGATTTTTAATTATAGATATTAAAAATCAGTTACCAAATTTGGATAAAATTGTAAAAAAGATGTGTTCATGGAAAAAAAATTACAAAAATAATCTCCTTTATCTATCTATACTATATATCTTTTTTTATTAAGATAAAAAATTATTTGTTATTATTAATAGACATGCACGATCGAATGATTTGTTTGTAGATAGCATTTGAAATGAATAAATATACCTAGAAGTTTAACTGAGATAGTTGTGTTAACTGAGACTTCTGTTTTTAGAACAAAAAAAGTAATGTTTTTAATAAATTATTATTATTATTATTATTATTATAACTTTTAACATGCTTGAATAAATTTATTTAAAAACAGAAATAGAAGAAAAGTAAATTTTTTACTTTCTTTTAGCAACCTGAAGTAGAAAATATATATATATATATATATATATATATATATATATATATTAATGTGAATTATGATTTTTGAAAAAAAAAATTAAGAGTTGTTGTACATGTATATTTTTATATATACAAAATATATTTTATTTAGATATTTTTACATGTTATTTATATACTCATATGATAATATATTAAATATTAATAATATTATAATCATAATTAATTAAATTAAAATAATAATATAATATTTTTTTAATTTTATTTAATAATAAAAATATCTTAATATTTAATTTAAATATAAAATAATAAAGTAATAATACAATAACAACGTGATTAATACAATAACTAGTTTGGTGGCTAAAACTGGATGAATTTATTTTAAAGTTAGCTAAGTTAAAGTAAATCACTTTACGTCTACGTGTGTTTGATTATTAAGAACAGAAGCGCTTTGAGAAATGGTTTTTCACAGGACTCATCATAACTTCAACAATAAAGCTAATTTGACTTGCAGAATCAGTAACTTGTTGACATGTGGTTAGTCTTTAGACCAATAATGCATTGTAATTTGAAGGGCACGCCAGCCAAACAAAGGGAGGGGAATATGTTGAAATTAAGTGAATTGATAAACACCAGGTCAATGTTTAATCACATAAATTAATAATCCTAATTAAAGACTATAAGTATGCTTAATAATATATAGTTTTTCGGATAGTTAGGGATACATCTTCTTCTTCTTCTGCATCATCATTTATTCCCTCAAATTTTTATTAATATTATTGACTAGATCTTTGTTTTTTATTTGAAAAATCTTATTTGTTGATATTTGTCTTATTCTATGATGATCTTATCCATAAGATATGAATAATGTGTTCTCTCGGATGAGCTGGACGATGTTGGGGTCTATTGATTTGTGTTGGTAATGATTTACTTTACGGTGATGCACTATATTAATCTGTTATCAAGTGAGTAAGTTTTAAAGTTGATCTAAAGATAAACTTCATTTCTTGATTATAGCTGGCCAACTAAATTTAATAAGTATGAACAATGGATAATAAATGTAAAAATTAAGAATTTTAATATAAATAATATTAATCATGATAATTAAATCTAATAATGTTATGTTGTATAATATCATAACTCTTTTAAACGTAACATTCAATATAATTTAGTATTATATTTGAAAAATATAAAAATAGTGAAATTTGAAAACAAGTTTTGACAATAGAGTAAGAACATTTTCAAAGAAGTTTCAAAAGAGAAAACACCATGTGAAACCAATACTTCAGTCAAATAAATCTTATTTCTGTAGAGCTAAATTTTAAGTAACTTTATTATTTGAACAGAATACCTAAAACGCAAACATAGTCCATTTAAATTTATATATACGTAATATAACATACTCTATATTCGAATTACGTATTGTCTTTCCATGTTTAATTTTGTTAACATTTGTCTTTAAGTATATTATAAAAATATATTTTTTAATATACATAAATAACATTTTAGGTAAGAAAAATTGTTTTCGAATATATTATATTTGTAAAATTTAAGATGGTATTAATTACTTTTTTATTAATTATATTCCTATCTTTTAGTTATATTTATTACATAGAAAATAAATAACAAAATATTAAATAATATTTTAAATAGAAAGAATATTAAATAATAAAAATATATTAATAAATTTATAAAAATAATAAAAATTAATATTTATCTTCATTTGTATACTTCATCATATATTTTAAAAGGAAGAGAGTATTAATTACTCTTTATTTTATTAATTTATCTATTACTTTTCTCTCTTAACTATTATTATTATTATTATTTTATTAATCCACTTACTCATTATCTCTCTTATAATTTTCACATAATCAGAAATTAAGTATATTTAAAAAAATTAAAGAATTTTAAATATATATATATATATATATATATATATAAACTTTCTCCACTTTATTATTATAAAGAAAATATAAAAAAAAATCATTGATACTATCCGATAGACAAAAAAAAGTTAAATATTATCATAGAATAGGATCACGTTATTATTACTTTTTCCTTACAAATAAATATATAAAAATAGTAAAAAAATAAAAAAAGGAAATAATTAATTAGAAAAAAAATTATGAAAAGATAAAAAATTCTTAGTTGTGAGTGAAAATAAATAAATAAATAATATATTTTAAAATAGATATTTACTTTTAATATATTTTTATATTACGATATAATAATTTTCATATTTTAAACAAATAGTACTTATTTTCTTTGTATTTTTATAAAATAATGTTCAATTTTATTTTATTTGAAAACATATAACATTAAATAATTTTTTATATGATTTAAAAAAATTATTTAATATGAATAAAATAAAAATATAACTTTAGAGAGTTTATGCATACTTTTAAATATAATATGATAGGATTGACGTGGGATTGAGGACCAGTCAACGAGAAAGAGATGAAAGAGGTTAAGAGATGGTGGTGAGGAATAGTAAGATGAGGAATATAGGAAGAAGAAATGGTTGAAGAAAAGGCAGAGTTCCAACATCAAAGACTTTTTCCACGACAGGGTGAGGAGCAAACAGAGAAAAATAAGAAGTTGAATAAATAATTTTATGCATGGAAAAATCAAACAAAGTGGCAGAGACCAATTTCTTTCTTGCTCGGATGGTCAAACAAAGGTCCAACACAGCAACACCGGTAGTAGGTTCCTCCTTTGTACCATGCAAAATTAGAGTTATAAGATTTATAACGTTCAATCTAAATTAGACTTACATTCATAAAATTACTCAAAAGTTAAATTTTTTAATTTTTTTTGATTTATTTATTAATAATAATAATTATTATTATAATATTTTTTAATATTTAAACTTTAGTTAATATCTAACATTTTATTGCATTACTTTGGAAATAATAATAAAAATATTGTAAAATTTAATGCAGTTAATCCTTAATTATTTATATAAATTATTTCAATTATATATTTTTAATTGTTATATTGTGTATTTATTATTATTATTATTATTATTATTATTATTATTATTCATATATTATATATTATAATAATTCTATTCAAATTAAACACATTTTTTTATTTCACTCAGTTTATTCCTTGACAACATATAGTAATGATTTCTTTACATAAGCAAATTTCATTATGATGAAGTTCCTCTATGATCAAATAACGGTACTAAAGAGTAACATGTAAAATCATTGACACTTACAAATTAAAAAATAAAGAAAAAGAAAACTAGGAAATAGACCAATTTACGAAATTGATTTTTTCAACATTTTTAATCAAATAATCCCGACCATCAAGATGAAGAATATGATGTTAGGAATTAGATGTTCAATTTTCAGTCTGATCCAACTATAACTAAAATAAAGATCACAGTATTATAAAATACCCTAGAGATACTTAAAAGATATAAATTCTTAACCTTTCACAAATTTGATTAAACAATTTACTCCTTACTCTTTTGTCTTCTCCTTGCCACTCTTGAACTTAAATTTCAACAATCTTTCGATATTAATTAAAAAGAATTTAGAGAGTTTTGTTTCAGTGAGATGGACATTTAAAAAAAAAATTCATATTAACTATTTATTTATAGAGTTTTTCAGCCAATCGAATATATATATATATATATATATATATATATATATATATATATATATATATATATATAATTACAATCTCCTTATCTAAAATTTTTCATTCTAGAAAAAGAATTTACAAGTAAATAAATAAGAGAAGAATGCCGGGATGTTTGCAAATCCTAAGTAAAATCACCAAATTTATCATCTTATTCATTTTCACCATATTCATTTTAGTTTATAATTAGTTTGTTTAATCCAATATTCATCTATATGAATTAGTCAAGCTACTATTATTTGATTGCAGAACATGATTTGGATCATGCACCTACTTTTTAAATTAAGTTAGAATATGTTTTGTTGATTAATTAATTAGGAGGTACTATCGGGTTTTCACATCGATTTTAGAATATTTAGATATATAAAATCAATTGTAAAAAAAACTGGTGTTATATGTCACTTTCTACACTTATTAATTATAGTCCAAAACCGATATAAAAAGTGATGTTATATGTTATAACACCAGTTCTTTTTACAATCGATGTTATATGTTTATTTTTTAAAAATAAATTATATGTATCACACTTATATATTTCAACATTTTTACACTTAATCATCGACGAAGTGTTATTTGTTTTTATATTTAAATTAATTTTATATTTAAATTAATTCACATATAAACAATGTAGACAACACGATGTAATTGTTATTTGTTTTTATATTTAAATTGACTCACATATAAACAATATAGACAACATGATGTAAAAAGACAATATTGTACTAGTGAGGTAGGCTAGCTCATAAGTTACTAGACCAATCTTCAATTTAGGAGTTAACTTCTTATATACAAGAACTTTTAACTTCCAAAAATACATATTCTTCAATATCAAACTCCAAAGGTTTCTATCTTTGATTAATATATTGCTTATGTCCACTCATCGAAGTCTTTAACTTCCTTCTATCTCTCAAACTTTATTTTGCACTATCTATTATTAAACTAATATAAATTTTTATTTTTTACTAACATAAAAGTGTTTTACACTTCTTTTTAATGTCATTTTAATACTGTGATTATTATTATAACTAAATTTCATGATAAAAACATTTTCTTCTTAACTTCTTAAATGATCCAACAATCTCAATAATTTTTAAATAATTCTCTTGACTTTCTATCTATCTAACAATAATATACAAAACTTAGTCTTGTCCCTGAAATCTCCTATAAAATATCAAAATCCAGTTACAAATTTAAAATTTGGATTAAAAATATATTCTTATACATATAATCATAACTAAATTAACTTTGCCATAAATATTTAAATATTCAAATCCAGACAATTATAAAACTTATAAAATAAAGTTAAACTTCACTTCAACAACCTTATCACTAAAAAAAATCTTTAATTTACTTTTTACCACTTATATATCTACGTTATTTTCCTAAAAATATATAATATATTCAACAATAAAATTCTGTTATTAATGTTATAAAATTATAACTTTCCACTTTCTAACTTAGTAATAATATTGTAGAAAACAAAAGAACATACATTTCTTACATTTTCTTTTCATAAAAATATAATCTCTCATATCCCTAATAATAACATAATATAGAATATTCAATTTTTAAAAAATATTTTACTGAAATTAGTATAATATAAAGGATTTCTATGATATATTTCAACAGTTAAATACATTAGTATTCAGAAAACAATATAACAAAATTGTTACTTAAGATAAATTAACAACTACTTCATGTTAATCTATTTTATATTTTATATTTTATTTATAAGAAACTATTTTTAATTGATTTTATTCTCTTAATCACTCAACCATACTTCTTAGAAAGCAGTGTCACGAAATAATTAATTGTTGAAACTAAGTTTGATGATTGATCATAAAGTATTGAAGTAAGGCATGTGCTCCTAGGATACAAGTTACAAGTTACAATTTTTAATATGGTAATTAATTAATTTGGTTTCTGCCTACTTACAAATTTATTTAAATCCTAATAATATCTTAAATATTTAAACTTCATTCATAATTAACAATTAAATGAATAATCAATAAGAATGAAAATCTCTAATGGTAGCAAAACAAATATGATTATGTCTAAAATAATAGTAAAAATGGTTATTTACGTTTTCCAACGGAGGATAAAAATAAAGAAAGTCGATGAAAACTTTACAACTGACAAATTGAGTTAAAATTAGAAAAAAAGGTCAAAAAATTCCGTTTGAATGATAGAAAAAAAAAGTAAAATATAATAAATTATCAACATAACATTTTTAAAATATAAAATTATTAATATAGAAACTTGGATTTAGTAAAAATTCAAAGAGGGTGAGTATTTACTAAAGTAGAGAGAACGAAACAGGAAATTTATTAAAAAAAAATGAAGAATTAATTATCAAGAACAAATGTATTCAACTAAAAAAAACTAAACAATAAAGGAATTTTTATTTTTCAATAGAAGAAACAATTCTAAACAGTAAAGGTAAATGATTAATGTATTTTTTATTTATTTAATTTACATCCTCAAAATACTTAAAATATACGTTGCCTTACCTTTTTTATATATATATATATATATATATATATATATATATATATATATGTATGTATATGTATATGTATGTATATATTATTGTATAAAAAGTTCTAGCTTATATATATATATATATATATATATATATATATATGTATATGTATATGTATGTATATATTATTGTATAAAAAGTTCTAGCCATGCATGCATATACACATAAAATTTTCTTGAGACATCAGTTTTTTTTACTAACTTGAAAATTTATGTATGAATAAAATTAAATTATGAATATTTATTATTGGAAAAATGTACAGGTATACCAAATTTAAGAAAACAAATAAAATGTATGAAATAGATAATATTTAATTATATTATTAATGTTGCATTAATAACCTTACATTATTTGTGCTCTGTATTAACACCACAGCTCCATGCCAGATACAAAAGGTTCATCACAGCATTGCTTCCATCCTTTCTTTTATTAGTTAGAATGGAAGGGAAGATGATCAAACAGAAGCAAAAACGAGAGATTAAGAAGATTGAGAACAATAGAGATCTTCTCATCACTTTCACAAAAAGAAAACGTGACGTTCACAAGAAAGCTAGTGAGTTATCAACTCTCTGTGGAGCAAAAGTTGATATACTTATGCATACTTCATCTGGAAATTGGTTCAGTTATGGGGAACCTTCTCACCGAGCCATGAGAATCTCTAATGAGAATGAAAACCCTACAGAAGATTTCATCAACCAGCTTGTGGAGGATCAAGCCAAATCAGAGATGTATGAACTATGTGAAAAAAACAAGACACTTGTAGATCAAATGCACTATGAGGAAGAACGAGAGAAAGAACTTAGAGAGAGTCTGAAGACAAGAAATGCCAGTGGTTGGTGGGAGGCCAAAGATCTTAATCGTGAACAAGCCAAAGAAATGAGGGTTTCTTTGATGGAACTCAAACAGAAATTGGAAAATGAACTTTCTGTCAAGCGTAGAGAGAAAGAGAATTCTTCTCATGGTAAGGGCTTTTGTTCTTATTCTTGTTTGTTGGTTGCTTTTATATTAATGATTTCTTCATGGTTTTCAATTTAATTTATATGGAAGTAATATCATTTTGTTGTTGTTGTTGTTGTTTTAGCTCCCCCTAATCAAGTGAATGGATTCAATTTTTGCCCTAATTACACCAGTGGAAGTAGCATATCTGAAGTTGTGTTTGGTGCTAATAATGAAGCTTGTGTAATGGCTGCAACTGAAAGTATTCTTCCTGATATATCTTTTAGTCCCATAGAAGAAGGGAAAGAGTTCAAATTTTTTCCATATGGTGAACGAAGGGAAGATCTATTTGATATTGTTTATCCTCACAAAAATATTTATCATGGATACAGTTTTTTTGTTGATGGTCCAAAAGATAATGGTAAATCTGGTTTTGCTTCATTTCCTGCAAACCAAATGCAAGGACTTAACCCTGTTGATGCAAATGGAAGAACCACCAGTGCTCATGTTTTCTCATCATTTTCAAATCAATCCCGAGGAGATAACACATTTCTACCCAATCCAAATAATGAGACTATTGGAATAAGAGGTAGTTATGACTTTGCCTTCTCTTCTTGAAATCAATGTTGAGATAATGACCCTTTTTTATTTTCTGTGATCCAGGTAATGTTGGTGGAAATGATGGTGGTGCTCTCTTTTCCTTCTCCCTTCTAAACCAACAGGAGGAGACTAATCCGTTTATGGACATTGAAAATGAGCTGAATGATGATTTTTCTTTTCCTCTATTCAGTGGTTATGATGACCAAGGCTGCTTCTAAAATTTGTTAGCATCATTACAGACATGTCTAATATTTGAATTCTTTAGTTGAATCTTTTTATGTTCAATCATGGTGGAAGATTTGCTTATTTTGTTTGACTTGTGATATATTTGAACCCATTTTGGGTAGTTTGTCTTCTCATCGTGGAATAAATCTGCTTTAAGGTTCATGGATTCATGTTTTGTTTTCATTAAATATTCTGAACTCTTGAAACGATAAATATAATCAATAGTTTGCTAACAAAATGAACTGAAACAATCTTTTGTTGGGGGAGGTAATAAAGAAAAAGAGAGAATTGAAGTTGGTATTGCTTTTGCAGCATAAGTAAATTAGTAATAGGAATAATAAAATGGAGATATTTCGTCCTAAAAACTATTAATTTTAATTCTTTAGTTCATTTTGAGTAGTCTTTTCTAATCTATTGATGTATTTTAAAACGTATTTATATATATATATATATATATATATATAAAAAAATAATAATTAAAAATATTATATTTTTTTATCAAATTATTAAAATATATAAATATGTTATAATATTATAATTTAAATTATGAATATTAATTAAATAAATTTAAATAATTTATTATAATTAATTATTTGAACATATAAATATAGTAATATTTTTAATTTATCTAATAAAAATATTAATTAATAAATAAAAACTTAAAAATTATTCATATAATTAAAGATATATTTTTTAATTATTTTTTAAATAAAACAATTTTAAAAAAATGTGTTAATCCTAATAAATATTGTCATGGTTATTTAATGGTTATCTCTAATCAAATATGATTAATAGTGAATTAAATTTTTATTTTTCATGTCACGAGTTTAAAATCGTGAATTTTTAATAAAAACAAACTGACTAAATAATAATATTCTTTTTTGAACATATTAGAGAAACAAATTATTTAATAATATTCTCTTTTAAAACAAATTTTCATATAACAAGATTTACTTAAGAAGGATAACTTTATATGGTGCTGCTTTAGCTACTACAACTTTTGAGAACCTTAAAGTCGTTGTTACTTCTACACCGATTTTGATTTTGTCTCTGTTTGATCTAGTTTTCACTGTTCAGATAGATGTCTCTGGTTCTGGTATGAGAATCGTTTTATCACAACAAGGACACCCAATTGCTTTTTTCAATAAGCAATTTTGTCCTAAATTACGTAATTCATCAGCATACATTAGGGAACTCTGTGTTGTCACATCTGCTATTCAGAAATGACATCAATACTTGCTCGATCGCCACTTCATCATCTACACTGATCAACAGGTCATCAAGGAATTGTTATCTTAGATTATGCTAACTCCTGACTAGCAGTCCTATGTAGCCAAACTATTAGGGTTTGACTTTGAGATACATTTCAAACACAGTAAAACAAACACCATTACAGACGCACTTTCCCGTGTTTCACCTGATGTAGACTCATTCTTCCTCATTTCTGTGTCTCAAATGGACTTTCTCCAAGACCTTAAGCACACTCGCACTTCTGATGCTACTTTCTTAGATTTTAAGAGTCATCTTTTGTAAGACCCCTCCATGTTTCTTGATTTTTCCATCCAATAGGACCTAATACTCTATAAAAGGAAAATTTGGCTTCCCAAGTCTTGTTCCTTGATTCTCTTGCTCCTCTTTGGCTGGTCACCCAGAAACTATTTGTACATTAGCTAAAATCAAGGCTAATTTTTATTGGGATTGTATGTGGAAAGATGTTCTCTCCTTCGTTACTCACTGTACCACTTGTCAGCAAACCAAGATCCTCATCCAACGTCTCTCAGGCCTGTTACAACTTATCCCTCCTCCATAATTGGATTATCCCCATTTCAGGGCCACTCTACTATATTGGTTGTGGTGGATCGGTTCTTTAAAGGTGCACATTTTGGTATGTTGTCTCCATCATTCACCGCCACTAAGGTCGTTAATCTCTTCACTAATTTGGTGTGCAAATTACATGACCTTTCTTGGAGCTTAATTTCAGACCGAGATCCTATATTTCTCAGCCACTTCTTGCGAGAACTTTTTCGTTTGAGTGACACAAAGTTGTGTATGTCCACAACTTACCATCCTCAAACAGATGGACAAACCGAGGTCGCAAATAAGATCCTCCAATAGTATTTGCGTTGTTTTGTCTACCGACCATCTCTATGGGGCAAATTCCTTCCATGGGCAGAGTGGTGTTTCAACACCACCATTAATTCCTCTATTGGTTTCACTCCATTTAAAGTTATGTTTGGTCGTCCTCCACCAAACATCCCTCAGACTTTGGATATGACTACTACCAATGTTGCAGCATAGTTTGAAACCAGTTGCAGCATAGTTTGAAACCAGTTCCCGCAAGGAAATTCTTCACAAATTGCAGCCCAATATTCTCAAAGCACAACAAACCATGAAACGCTGGGTAGATTCCCCCAACGTGATGTTCACTTCAAATTCGGTGACTGGGTTTACGTACGGCTTCGCCCACGTCGCCAACACTCTCTCACTGCTCAAGGATTATGTAATTGAATGATTAAGTGGTAGTATTGGTAGAATTTGGTTAGGCAACAGGGAGCATGTCTAACAAGCTTTATTTTCTTTTCCTATTTTGCACTATTTTGCACATTACATGTATGGTGCTATATAAGCACAACTAGTGATTAAGAAAGGGGGGAGATAATTTTGACAAAATTCCTCTTTGTTATTCTCATTCCTTCTGATTATTGCTTTTTGTTTACTATGGTGTCCTTTCACAATGTCTCACATCTTTTTCTAGTATTATAATATTATTCTTTGACTTTAAATATTTCAATTATGCATACAATAGATTTTAAAAATATCGATTTAGACACATTATTGGATAAAGTCATAGATGAAAAACTCAAAGACAATAATGATAAAAAAATCATGAGGCTAAAACATAAATACCAATAATAAGTCAATAACACTAGTGGTGATATACAATGAAGGAAGATAGTTCATCAAAATTGTGAAAAAAGTTATCATCAATTGTTCGATGACTATTTTGCTAAAAATCCTATATACATGAAATCTCAATTTCAAAGAAGGCTCCATATGCATAGGGATGTTTTTGCAAGATTTATAGAAGCTCTTGACAATCACGATAGTTGTTCCATAATGAGGTTAGATGCAATACGAAGAAAATGTCTATCACCTTTATAAAATTGCACTACTATTATTAGCATATTGACTTATGACTTACTTACTGATAGTATGGATGAATATATTCAAATTGGTAAAAGTAATATAGTGGAATGCTTGCAATAATTGTATAAAATATTTGTGTAGTATTTCGAGATGAATATTTAAGGATGTCTAATTACAACAATATTGTTTGATTACTACAAATAGGAGTGACACACGTAACTTTCTAAGTATATTAGGATCAATTAAGTTCATGCACTAGGAATGGAAAAATCAATTTTTTTAAAATAATCATACTAACCTAACAATCATTCCGCAAATAGTGACATAAAAGACTTGTGGATTTAATATGCATTTAATATTTGGTATGGATTCGTGTTATTGTTAAACTTTCTCACCTTTCTCTCTCATTGTTACATTTCCAAAGTATAATAAATTTAATAATAAGAAACAAAATTATTACTCTTTGAGAGGTGATGAACTTAATTTCCACTATGAAAAATACTAACTAAAATATCTCACTATTCAAACAACAATGTCTAGTAAAAAAAAAAACTTATAAAAGGTGACATCAATCATTAAAATACAAAAAGTGAATTATGGTTCTTAATAAATTTTTTTTGTCTCAAATATTTTAGACAGCATTTTAAACAATAAAATAAATAGTGACTTGGATAAAATTTAGGAGAAAAAATTTAAAAATTATTAGAGATAAATTTCTAAAAAAAATTGAATAATTTATGATGGAGAAAAAAATATATTGATCATATATTATACAATAGAATTTCCATATTTTTAAATTTTAAACATCTTATAAATCGATGGCAATTAGCCCACTAATTGTAGGCCCAATAGGGAGTGTAGAGAGATAAGCACATATTAAGAATTAATCAACCAAATAATTAAGTCATTAATTACAAAAACCCAAAAATACACGTGAGATTATGAAGGTAAAGTCAAAGAAGGTAGTCAACAGAAGGAGGCGGGTTTATTATATTTTAAAAAAAAACCTTAAAATCGCATGGCGGGTTCACCTTATATTATTAATTAACTAATTAATATATTTATTATAAATTTTATATTTTATTTTATTTCCGATGGATGCCCCTCCACTAAATCAGCGAAACTGTATCACGTTTTGTTGGTGCTGTTGCTGTGAATGAATCTGCGATGCGATACGATACACCCACTCATCACATGCATATGCATATGCGTATATACGCGTAGATCTGGAGGAGTGAGTAGAACAGAGGAGAAGGAGAAAGAACAACGCACGCGGTGATTGTTTGTCTCGCACGCACGCACGCACGAGGCCATGTCGGGATTCAGAGACGCTCGCTGTTTTCCGCGTCTTGTCCTCGCTGTGAATCTCGCTCTCGCTCTTCTTCACGCCCTCGTTGCTTCCCTTGCCTTCTTCCAGGTTCTCTCTTACGCTGCTTCCTGCATTTGCGTCTCCCTCCGCAATTTAGGTTTTCGCGTTTTTTTTTTCCATTAGGGACGCGCTCAATGGAGAGAATGTGTTGAATTCGGGAGGATAAAAGAAAAGTGTATTTTGAGCCTTTTTAATGTTTATTCTCCGTTATCGTTTGCGGTGACGGTTTTCCGAATTCAATCACTTGATATTATGAGCGGTTTTAATTTTCAGGGCTTTTTGTTGAAACCTTTTTTTTTTTAATGTTCAACTGTCACTTTTAGTATGCTTGAGTGGTTAATTGACTTAATTTAGCTACTCTTGGAGTTGACTTTTGTGGCTGCACTTTGTCACTGTATAGTTTGGAGAGATTTGGATTGGAATGATATTCCATAACACTGATTTGAGATATTAAGCTCTGTGCTAAAGTGGAATGCTGAAGACTGAAGTTGTTTGCGTTTACTTATTGTCGATTTTTTTCTTTTTTAATTTGGGTGCTCCAGTTGATGAGGATACACTTGAGAAATGCGCAGGTTGGTTGGACTCGGCAAAAAGTAAGTTCATTTTAAAGGGTACTTGTCTGAATTTTCTCCAATAACTGGATCTTTTCTGAATAGATAATCCTGTTAATGTGGTAAATGTAATAAGTGATTGGTTGTCATTCGCCACTTACTGGTTGGTACTGTAGCCTCACTGTGTATAACAGTGCTGTTGTAATTATGTCTCTAGTATACTGATTACCGAGATTTGAGGGTTTTCAATGTAGCACTTACTAGAGCTTTAGGATGAGTCATTACTCAAAAAGTGTGTATATTGAAGGCTAAAGAATGTGCTTTTGTGACTACTTAAAGTTACTGTGTTTAGTAATCTCGATGGACATATGTGCTGCCCTCACTTCAAAATTCAACGGCCCTTTTTTATCCTTTCTATATTTTGTTGATGGTTTAGGGGGTTTGATATATGAGTAAAAATCTTTAATGGTGAATTTATGCAACAATTTGTAATCACAATGTAATGTGTCTATGAAATAGTTCAAGATAGTCCTGTCCTTTATAATAAGAAAGGATGGAAATGGAGAGAAATATTGCAATGCAGTTAGGCATTATAACATTGCTCATCGGAATATACTTCTTCTATCTCTGAATTTTTATAAATATATGAACTTTTACAGATTTTTAGTTTTCATGCCACTCAGTTCTAGGGTTTTTTACTTGCTATTACCCCAGGATCTGTTTATACATATTAGATTTCTAATGAAATGTAAATACGATGGGTTGCAGGTGTTCCATCTATTGATTGGCTCTTCTAATTTGGGTTAGTTATATTTTACTTATGATGTTCAAGGATATCGTTATGTGTTACTTATTTTTCATCATTTCCTCTCTTATTTTGTGGTTGATTAAGCCTTTTAGCCTTTCCTAGTCTCCTACACTATAGGAGCCCATTTTGATATTTTATCCAGTACTTGTTATAATTGATAAATGATTGGGTAGATAGATTTGGTTTGTGGCTACATCACTTTCATCATAAAATTTATAACTTTTTAATTGTCTCCACATTCATTGGTACTGCCAATTTTCAAGTTTGTTTTACCTGAGAGTAGCTCTATACTTTGGCAGTTTGACCTGCTTTTCCTATTTGGCTTCTTTGTTTTCTCTCTATTCTATTTTCATTTTGTTTTACATCAATACCTTGGCTGAGATGGATATATTTCTAGTTTTTCTCTACCAAACATCCATAGTTGTTTTATCACATCTTATACTAACGGAAATTTTATTTCTAGTGTTTCTCTACCAGCTATGAAACATCGATACTTCAATTTGAAATAAACCTATGAAACATCAATACTTTTATTTGTTTCATGTTTAATACTTTTGGATACTTCACCCATACCCTAAACTGTAAATCCGAAACATATAAGTATCTGTAATATGGAAACATATAAATATTATTTCTTCATAACCAAAGAAGAAATTTGTTTTTTATGAATTATCTTAAAAAGGTAATGAGATCGATAGTGCTATTCCTATATGTAAATAATAGAAAGTATTTTACAATTACCACAATGTCTAAAATATGTGATTTTAAATTTGGATTTGTGTGATTGTAGTTTTATATTTATTATGTTTTATGAATTCTTATACATTTAAAATTTTTTTAGAATAAGTGTATCGTCGTATTGGGATACACATATCATATCATGCATCACAGTCTACCAAAGGTCCATTTTACTTTGAGGAGTGATAAGAGATATGCTTGATACTTGACTTTTATTTTCCCTTATGCCTCTAGAACTGTCATCAAAATCCCAAAAAGTATGATTCATGTGCAAAAGGAAATAAATATATACACCTATGAAGCACTTTCCAGTTCTGAAATGTCAGGCTATTAGCAGTGCTATATATACTGAGAATTTGGATACCAAGGGAAAAATGCTTTGTATTCCTTACCCCTGAGCATTTTCTTTCCATTCTTCCTAAGTATAAGTGCTGAAGATGGGGATGAATCCGGCTAGACCCCTAAAGGCTAAAGGACTAACATTGCATCGGCCTTGGTCATCATTCTTTAGCAAATTGGTAAACTTGATAGTGAGTCTGTCACAGCAGACAGTTACCCTGTTACAACCTAAAGAAAGTATGGTCTTAACTGCCCTCCCTCTTCTCTTCCATGTACGTGTGTTAAGAAAGGCATAATCATGCTATTTCATATTAATTAGAAATTCTTTAAATGGTATAGGTCAAGTAATGAAGCCTTAGACTTTCGACAGTTAGTCCAAATCTTATCTGTTGCACATTGAAAGTCAGACCAAATTGGGAATCTTGCATTAAATGGAAAACATAATTTGAGTATCTTTGCTTAGGTAATGATAAATCCGATTGTGCAATGAAATGGTGCCCTAATTTTGTCTTATAACTTTATCAAGGGTGAACTCATTGCTCATGCTCCTTGATCATAATTGAAAACTTGTTAAGTCTAACATTCCCTTGACCTTCCAAGATTGCAATGGCCGATATCATGGGTAGCGTAAGTATAGGGTTTGCACAATGAGCTTAATGTAAAACAACTTTGGTTTCATGCATGACAATTCTTCTGTGCAAAAGAGATATTCTTTCGATAACTTTGTCATCTATCCAATATATGAAAGGTTCTGCTTTCATAACTTATAACAAAATACATGCATCAATGAATAAAATTTGACCTGTCAATACCCTCCCCACATTTTCTCTTTATTCCATCTAAACTACTCAATTTAAAAATTTCAGGTTACGTCATTTATTTGGCATTGACACTTGTTGCTGCTTGCAAGGGATGGAGCTGTTGGTCGCACTCGTGTGGTTTCATGTTTATGGGTAAGCCTCCATTCTTTACCGACTAGACACCTGTGATATATTTTAAGCCTTAATCAAAATGTTTACACTGTTGAAAATTGTTTTGCAGCTTTCCCGAAAGTACTTTTTTTTGCAGCATTTCTTCTTCTTTTATCATTCTGGTATGTAATCTTTCTTATCATTGATGATACTTAAATTTATTTGATGAATCAGCAATGCTTGCTAGAAAAATTTACTTGTATTGTAGCAAGTACTAACACACCCTCTGTAGGAGGGATGACAATGGATAGAAGCTAGATAAGATTATATGTTCCAACACTCATATGCTTACGGATGGTAAATTTAATGACATTATCTCTTTTATTAGTTATTATTATTTTTTTCATATTATTTTATCTCATCTTTCTCACGTGTGTACAAGATAACAATTACAAGCAATCTTTTCGATATGGTATCAAAGTGGTACCATCCTTCTTAACATGTTATGTTACTGTTGAAAGTCTCACATCGCCTGTCTCATGTTATTTGGTATGATTTAAATATATGTTAAGTTACTCCATATATTGTCAATTGGTTTTATGTTGGAACTTTAACATGGTATCAGAACCAAAACCTAACATCTTTTCTGTTATTGTCTTGGGCCAAGAGTTGTCCTTTCGTGGTGGATCAAAAGTATCTTTTGCCTGGTCCTACAGGATTTATTGGAGGGGGCGTATTGAAAGTCTCACATCGTCTGCCTCGTGTCATTTGGTATACATGTTATGCTACTCCACATATTGCCAATTGGTTTTATGTTGAAACCTTAACAATTACTAATCCACAATAAGGCAACTTTTTTCCTAGAGGCACTAGCCTCGAATTTCTCTCTCAAGTAAACAATATTCATTGCAACATGTTTTACTCTCCAACAACCATCGTGCCCTCTGAAATTCTTTGCTCTCTAAAAGTTGGCACCCTATAAGCACTTTTGCTCTCCAATAGTCATCATGCCCTTTTAGAACTTTTACTCCTTGACAATCATTGAGAATTTTTGTTCTTCAGCAGTCATTGTACCCTTTGAGCATTTTTTTCTCGTCAACAGCCACCACGCTTAAACTCCAACAATCTCCCCCTATTAGTATGATTCTCTTCAAATGAAAGCTCTTATCCAAAAGCACTCTTACTTGTACCATTGTTCACCCCAATGGAACCCAACACTTGAATCCTTGCTAGAAAGACTTTTGATAGAAGGGGGATCAATTAATTCATCTTCAACTCCATCGCACTTGTCTAAGCTGATTAACAAGGTGAACGATCAACTTTAATACTACTTGTTAGAAAATTTGAGATAGAGAAGCACAAGACAAAATTTCACTAATGGACCCCAAGCCAATCACATAAGTGAACAATACACCATTTTTAATGTAAAACCTTAAGAAAATAGGCTTGTGGATCTATTTCACTTAGATGTTACTCAATTTGTTTATTTCTACACAATGTAAAACACCAACTCACTTGAACTCCAACAAGTTGTCTGATGCTATTGTGCTCTTATCAAAGGTATTTTCACTTCATGGAAAAGTGAAAAGCATAATGTTTTTCCAAGGTCCAATATAAAGGGATAGTATTGCCTTTTACCACATTGTACATTGCCTCCTAATCCTACTTTCCTTTAACAAATAAAGCATGCTGAGATTTGCTATCATTTAATTCTTGAAAAGATTGAAGTAGCAAACATCTTCACCAACTCTTCATGGATCAAGGATGTCATACATAAGTAGCAAGATGAATGCACACAACTTATGTGCACCAGCTCTTGGGACAGGTGTTGAGATTTTATAAGTTGAAATTTGGGTTAGAATGATTGATTGATTGTATTGCAATTATTTCCTTTTATTAGTTAGGGTAATTAGGCTACTAAATATCTTGTAGATCTAGTGATACCTAGACCCACATGGACACATACCCACAATTTCCGTGGGTTCAATCACCTAGCCCGAAACCATTTAATGGGTAAGACCTCTACATTGCAAGTAAATTTTGCAACTGGCCATTTTGTCCAAACCAAATTGTCCTTCCTACCCTTGAGGAGTGATTCTATTCCTTTCTTATCTCCCTGCTCATCACTTTTGTTTCTTTTTCCATCTTACAACTGTAGTTGTAAATCTTTGTTTAATTTATGGTAGTATGATTGCTAAAATTTGCAATTCAGGCTGCCAACATTGACATGTAAAAAATTGTTTTATTGAACTAGTATTGGGAAATTATCTTTGCATATGTTTGTGTATATCATCAAATTAGGCCCCTGATTGCTCAATATGTCTGAAACTTTGATATTCAATCAAGTAGAATAGCGATACATGCAACAGACCTTATCTAGTGGGATAAGGCTGTTTGTTATTGTTGCATGGCTAAATATGAACTAGTTTCTTTGCATTTGGGTTTCCTTTTACAGGGTTGACCTTTGCCATCAAGCAGATGATGATGATGACTATGAAGGAAGTTTTTGTGAAAACCCTTTACTGGAAAAGACATCCAATGAATCAAACATAGCAAGCATAGACAGCCATCGAAAGTGCTTTCCTCTTCGGCTTGCTCGTGTTGGAAATCGGCAAAAGATTGTGATTTTGGTATGGGAAACAATGAATGTTTCTTATGCAGTTCTCTGATTTTGTAATGTATCTTTCCCCTTTATTGACTGTTTTCTTTACAATGTATTTCCTTTGTGTATAATGATTCGTGGTTTTCCAGGTTACATTGATAGTTTTCATCACCTTGATAGCATTTGCTGTGATAATTTGGATTGGGCTAGGAAAGAATCCCATTGATTCCGAAGTGGCAGCTCAGGTTTGGGCATTGTCATTTTAGCTTGTTTATAATCTATTCATGAAAAAGGACTTCGATATTAAATGGACTGGCAGAGTATTTTGTTAATGAAAATATATTATTATTCATATAGCCAATACCTGGTGGAAAAAGGCTTCGGTTGCTGTTGTTATTCATGATCAAGGTTTTAAGTAGCATACTGTAGCTCTGCTATAACAGCAAAGCGGACCCTGCCTACACGGGCTTCTTTGGCTGAGCGTCTTACTGTAGCAGTAGCAGATTGTTAGGGGCCTATATTGGCATTATAGCAGTGCTTGTTCATTCCAAAAAACCCTTTTAGTGTGGATTGTGACCAAAATTATCTTGCAGGTATATTTAGATCTTTCTGCCATTGGAATGCTTTTGTTGGGAGGAGCATTAGCATGTTATGGTGAGCAACTGCTATTCTATTTCTCCATTTCAAGTTTTAGTGGTTTTTAATGTAATTTGTTTTGTATACTCGAGTGGATATATACCGCTTGTTTGTATGTGGAAGTGCATCTGTGTTGCGCAATGCTCAAACCTAGATACATATGTATGTATTCATCTGATTATCTAGCAGGCATGTTTATTGTCCAATTAAATGAATTTTATGTTCTCATAATTCATGTGCCTCTTGCATCATTTTTTATTACTACTTCTGTTCTCATATATAACAAAAAAAAAACTAACTTTACACAGATTAAGGAAAACATTTTATTGCATTAAATTTTACTAATCTCTTAATATTCTTCCTAAAATGTCCTTCCTGTGAAACAAGAAATACATATGATGTTATAGCCAAAATTCAGACATTAATAAAGTATGGGTATTTTAGGAAAAGTATCATTAAATGACGTAAAGCTAGTTAAAATTTGCTTATATTTGAGAACAAGAAAAGTGTGATTTGTTTTTCTTACAAATGAGAATGGACGTAGTATTTGATTATATACTAATACAAAAATAGACAAATAATAACAAAACTATGTAGTCAAGAAACATACTTGTTATAGTAACATACTGGGTGCTTTGTTCTTGCTAAAAAATCTGTATTTTTTTTGTATAATACCCAATTATAAAATAAATCTTGGTGAACAAGATGATACTAAACTTAAGCATATTATGGGCAAAAGTTAGCTGTAAATAATAACATAACAGATACATTAGTACATAATAACCTATCTTTCCCAGTTCCCTTATTGTTCTAGCACTAAATGCTTTTGACATTTGTCATATTATTCATATAAAAATTGTTATTTATGGAGCATTACTTCAAAATGTTGGTATAAGCTGGATATATTTTGTTGCACAATTTGAGAGGATAAACACTAGAGAGACTTCACAAATGGTTCATGAGCCAACACACAAGAGAAATTGACACGATCTTTAGCCCAAAATCGTAGGACAATAGGTTTGTAGGACTTTCTTTATATGTTGTTTAATTTGTCCATTTCTACAAAATATGAGACTCTAGCACAAGCTTGAACTCCAATAAACTCCCTTCAAGTGAGTCCCTTCCACATTGTAAACACCACCTGGATTCACTACCAAGAAAACTTTTGATACAAGAAATCATTTGCACATTGGGATCCACTACCATCGTACTCATCTAAACCATTAAGGCGAATTATCGGCTCTAATTCACCATTGGTGAAGATCTTGAGGCTATTCTTTCCCTTAGATTTCTCAATAGTGCTATCAAAATTGATAGTTTGTGGTAATAAATTATCATATACTGTACATTCAAACAAAGTGTTTCCACCCACTCCCCTCCTGTTCGTACAGTGTATGAGCTTTCAATAAGCCAGTGGTCTCTGAAGTTTTGTCTTGGATCCTGTTTGTTGTCTCTGCACATGGACCTTTTCATTTTAATTTACTAGCGTACAAAACCCATAGAGGTTATATATCATGCTTTTTGTGCCTTCCAACTTCCCTACCTTCATTTTAATATACAAATTTACCTTAGGACAGACTGATTAACAAAACTTCCACCTATTTGTGAGTTACCGAACTTAATTTTGTTGTCTAACAAATCAAGCTATGAGGGACTTACACATATACAACTCTCATAACCTGCACCAAAGCACCTTCTCCCTATCTCCAAATTTAATAATATTGATCATTTGCATGATTTCCCAACCATCGTTATTTGATTGGTCTTGCAAAATGTCACTCCTCCAGCATAACCTTGTCAGACAACTTCTCAACAAATTTTAGTTAAGTGGCAAAATTTCTTGCTACAACAGGACTGTTGCTGTGAGAACGTTCGTCCCTGCTTCAATAAATGGTAATATAAGAAGAGATATTAGTTGGCAGGTTGCAAAAGATGCTTTTAAGCATTGTTACCACAAACCATCCATATAGATATAGCTTGGTCAGGGATCATATATGTTAAGGTTTCAACATAAAACCAATTAGTAATATGTGGAGTAGGTTAACATCTATTTAAACCATACCAAATGATATGAAGTAAGCGATGTGGGACTTTTAACATACCCCCTCCAACGAAGTCTGCCGGATCAGGCAAAAGGTACTTTTGATCCAACTACAGGGCAACTTTTGGCCTCTGACAATAACCGGAAAGATGTTAGGTTTTGGGTTTGATACCATGTTAAGGTTCCAACATAAAACCAATTGGTAATATGTGGAGTAGCCTAACATGTATTTAAATCATACCAAATAACATGAGGTAGGTAATGTGGGACTTTCAATAATATAGAATACAACATATGAAACACCAGTCTACGATTGTGTGGGTTGTACTTAAACTAGATATGCTTGAATATAATATAAGAACAATTAAGGTTTCAATTTTTTTCGACCTATATTAATAATATGGAGTGCAAATTTCCATAAGTGAATATAAATTTATTTTATGATAAGGTTGGATGGATTTATGCTCGTAAAGGTGCAAGTCTTTCTTTGGGGAGGGTTAAATTGTTGATGCATAGTGGGTTGTGATGTGCCTCCTTTTTGAAACTGCTTTTATTATAATGTGTAGTATTTTTGTAACAGGAATCCTTTTATGCTTGAAAATGAGCAAAGTGAGAGCTGAGAAACCTTCATCTGAAATGTGGAAGGTACTACATTTCTGTTTCCGCTGGAGTATTGAACAATGTTTAGCCTTTGAGATTTTGAAGCTTTTTTCAAAGGCATGGTGGCCTGTCAGCCATGGCTGCCATCACTTAATCTAACTTTTCATCTGATGCATAATTTACTTGTTTATTTTAATTTTAAATTTATACACATATACTGAGATAGAAATATACAGGCTTCTGCAGTTCTGCTTGTTTGTTTATCAAATTTAAATAAATTGTTGACGGATTCAGTTTTCTCAGGTTGCAGGTTTAACTATTGTCTCTGTACTATGCTTCACATCAAGTTCATGTGTAGAACTCTTAACTGATATCCCTGTACGTATGAGTTAACTGGGTACAGGAATTCTACTTTTTTTGTTGATAAAAGGGTTAAGATATCCTGAACTTTCTTGTCATGTTCTCGTTTTATTATTGCAGATGCAGTATAACTGGCATCAACAGCGTCTGAATGATGTTTACACCTCTCTTATACTCATTTTGTATTATTTTGTGGGTATGTGCTGCTAATTTAGTTACCAGTTACATTAGTTCAGTTGCAGGAATCTTATATTCATTGCATAACAGTATTTGAAAATACTTGGTCTGTCCTCCTTTCAACTTTCACATAGCGTCCACCGCTAATTACTATCTGAAGTGGTTTCATCTCCTTTAAATCTGAATCTGATGCTTCTTCCAGGTTCATCAATACCTTCAGCAGTGATACTGTGGGTAATGAGAGAATTACCACCGGCAGAAGCTGCTGGCATACCAGAAGAATCTACAATAACTTTTGTTGCTGATAGTTCAATAGCAATTCATCATCCTCAACGCTGGACTACAGCAACAAGCGTGCAGAATCAGGTTCCTATTGTATACATATCTTCCTTTGGTTAAATTATCTATGCAGTATTCAACTTTTGATCTGACTACACATATGTTGAAGCCTTTGCTTGATTTCAGAATATGCAAACTGTTTCACATCATTTTCTGAATTCCTTTTTTCTCTTACCTCCATCTCTAGAAAATTATTTTTATATGAACGTGGATAGTTTAAAGCTTGAAGGAAACACTTTAACATTCACAATCATATTGTTTCCCCAAAAGACTAAGAGTCTCATTCCATAAGGGGAACTTAAATTATGATACAGCAGATAGTACAATATTACAATTATGCGGAGTATTATGATGTTTGAAAATTCAGCAATATAACCTTGTTTACTGAATCAACCAGCATGGTTCATTTATTAGGCCTACAGTAGTTATACTTTTATCATGTGACTTTGAATATGCATAAGAACTGTTAGTGATAGAAATGCTGCTACTATTGCAGATATCAAGAGCGAGTCCTATATAATTTATGCATTAACCTTTGCAAGTGTCTTGTTCTGCTGGAGTTTGGACAGCTTATTGGAATTTCCTCAGAATGTTTTAACCCTAGAGTGCAGATGAGAGAAAATGATCTGATGAATGCAAGTGCTAGGGCCATGAGGTTTCCCTTCCCACTGTATCTACAATCTAAATCTAAATGTATATAGCAGCAATTTGATATATGAAATTTTTTTTTCTTCTATACAAATTTTGGGATGCTACTGTTTCAATGCTGGTTGGGAATTTTTCAGAGCTCTAATAACTTCCATCCCATCCGACATGAATGACTGTTGCAGGGTGACCATGTTAGCCTGCTTGCGAGCTGAATCAATCAGTCACGAGAAAGATTTTTCTTTTCAATCTATAAATCATGCTCTGACTTGACTAGAGGTACAACCAGTCGTAACAATTCTATTTTTAACTGCTAGGGAAAGTGTGATTCCTATTCCTGTACCCCTGAAATTTATATTATAATTTTAGAACAAAATATGCCTCAAGTCATCACTACTGAAGGATCGTATTTGAATTATGCTTGCGAAAAACAGGTAATCACCAAATACAGATCGTATTTAATCAAACGTAATTTAGGTTGGAACAGATTCAGGATTCATAATCATTTCGTGTACCTTTTTATTGTTCGATTCCATTTGAGTTTTTACTCTTGGTTCCGAATGAAAAGGAATAAAATGGAAACGATCATAAAAACATCAACAATTGGGCTAAACAACTTAAAAGTGATAAATATGTAAAAAAAAAAACATTTTATAAACTCAATAAGAAAATAAAAGTTCCTATCAATTAATGGAAAAATTTATCTGTTTTATTCTTCTTATTTCTTTCTCTTCTTAATAACACTAATTGAAAAATTATCCAACACTCCTCCAAAAAAATGCAATTTAAGTGGTTATAATAAAAAAATTTCTTAATTCTTTAATCATTATCTTTAGAGCAATCCCAAGGGGAATAGTAGTGCTTGCAAAATTCAGGATCTCAGCGGCAACAGTTAGGCAACTTAATGGGTTTTTGAATCACCATGGGACCTAAGACGGTATAAAAGGTAGAAGGCCACTGAAAAAGGTTTTTCGTTGGTGCGCCACTAACATAGCAAAACTAATTGGGCTGACAGGTGCACGAAAGCACCCAATGCATGCATGACCATAATCTTTCTGTTGCTTGAAATTTAAACTTTTACTAGAAAAATATAACACAACAAACATGGGACAAAAAACAAAAGTCAACAAAAACTTTAGCAGCCATGTTACGTGCAACAAAACAGCCTTGTTTCTGGAAAAGACCCTTTAGAGTGGAAACATGTTCAAAATCACTTGATAAAGTCAACAATTGCGAGAAACACGCTTCAAATGAAATAGCAGCAGAGCATATAGAACTTCAAATTTGACAAGGGTGCCAGAAGCATTCATCTTGATCCATATAAATTTATAGTACATTCATAACATTAACATAGCGTGCATAATAAAAATTGAGTTTTAGGCCAACATAACACAGTACGATTATTCATAGTATCTTCTTACATAACTGAATCAGTAAAATGTCAGTCATAATTTATTACTCAGACAGCAAGACCTCTTTCCATAAAAGAGAACTTGGATGGTGAGCGAGGCTAGAAAGGGTAAGCAAACGAAGTTGGGGAAATAGGCGTATGACCAACTTCATCTTCATGGTTCAACTCCAAATTGTTCCATCTCAACTTTGAGAGACTTGAGGTATTTAACAGCTTCATCCAAAACAGTAATAGTGTCCATTTGATTACCTCCATCAGGCACAATCTTTCTCAACATCCTCACCATCCTCTTTATCTCCCGATTTTTCCCATCATCTTGGCAGCAACCCCTACCCCCAGAAGACTTGTGTACAGAAGATGATGACAGCCTCTTCTTCCTTGATTTTGAGCAATAACTGGAGCAAGTGTCGGACAAACTTTCATAATTTTCATGAGTCCTTGCCGTGCTGACTTCTTCCTCATCAATGTCTTCAAGTTCATCCACTCCTATGCTCAACAATGCATCAATGTCGTTGGGATCTTCTTCAAAAGGAGATGACAATTCTCTTTCCATTTGATTGACTTTATTCTTCTCAAAATCTTGAGAACAAGTAGCATGAACATTAAATTCAGGACTATTAAATTTGTAAGTCATTGCAGGATGGAACATTATCCTGCTTTGCTGATCTGTTTGATCAAAGATAACAAAATTCTTGGGGCAAGCCTCAGAGGGTTGCAATTTAAATCTTTCAAAGGGTGTTATCTGCCCCACATTTGGAGGTAAAAACGAATCAAAGGTAGAAGCAAGTGGAGCATGCATATGAGCATGAGCATCAATGGACTCATCTACCAAAGGAAGTACCATCTCCGGGAGAATATACTCCTGAGTCTGCATTATATTATCTGGTCAATTTGACTGACGTTCAAGCAAGCAATGCTGATTTAGCCTATGCAACTGGCAATTATTCTGTACTAAAGCTGGAAGGAAGTTCCTAAAGGAATGTTAAAACTAAACAGCAGGTGCTAAGGTGATTCCAATTTCCATCTAACATGAAATGGCAACTTTTCCAAACTAAAACCTCATCTCTCTCTGCAGCTTTATAATGATGAAGTGCAATATAAGACAATCCCCCCCCAAACCAATGTCCCTCAAAGCTAGACTACGTAACAGGTTTGAGCAACTGACGAAAATACTCAGCCTGCAAAACAAAATGGTGTGGTAAAACAACAGTAATGGTAAGGAGTAAAACCAAAAATGCATTTGCTGTTAGCAACATCAATTAGTGATATCTAATGGTGCAAAAATACTGTCAAATCTACAAGATAGTATTTATACAATTAGAGAGAACATCCACTCTATTCAAAACTATATTTTCTTTGTTAAAAAAAGTTATATTATCATAAACATTCAACCCCTGTTGCTTTGTAAAGGTCTTAGAAAAAATAAGATAATGAACCTCAAGCCTTAGATATTTTTATGTCATGTGCTAACTATACAAATTGTAATATCCTCCGGTCAACATCAGAGGAAAGATACAAAATGTCATCTGCTGTTCGAATCCCAAATCCTCCTCCATGGCAACCCAGAAGTGGGGAAGATGAAAACTTACCTGGCAAACAAGCATCAATTCGTTGTAAGCAATGACTCCAACACTCATTTTAATTTGTCCAACTTCCTTCACAGCTCGGTATCTCTTTATTGTTATCGCAAGGTACATCCTCAGATCCCCCAACAGCTTTAGAAATGAAATGGAGAAAAACTAATGAAAAGAGTTCCTTCACAACCTAATGGGACTTCACCTTCAACGGAAAGAAACAATATAAGACAATCAGAGGTGTAATCTGACGGGAATAAAAGATGAGATTCCATAAAATGTTCATAAAATATGAAACTGTAGCAGCTATATTCAATGCATCTTTCACATATTCAGAAGTTAAGTCATAGGAACTATACATGCTCTCCATGAAACAAAACAATTATACTAAATTCACAATTGTTTTCATTCCATTACAAGCAATAGACATAAAAAATGTTACAAGCCACATTCCAATTAAGATGCCATCAAATATCAAATTATTCGAGAACAATAGTTCTACAAACTATTGAAGCAAATTGACAGGATAAAATTCCTCACCTGAGGAAACTAATTTACAGAATCACGCGAAAAAACACCACCAAGCGAACACAATTTCTTTTGTGATCCACAAACAAGGAAACCCACGGCATCTTGACTTAGCTCCACTCCAGATTATCAGATAAGACAAACCCAGAAATCTGACCTGAACAAAGTGTCAAAGTAAGGGTTTATCTTAGAATCAAAAGCAACCCTCCACAAAAGAGACACCAAAGGAGTCAAGAATAACCCACTCCACTCCAATCACGCTTCAAAAAACAAAACAAAAACCCAAGTTTTTTTTTTAGAAATAAAAGGAAAGTAAAGCATCAAAATTCAGATTATCCTAATAAAAATTATAAGTATAATCCCAATCACATAATCCTTCATTCAACTTGCATAACTATTAACATAAACGAGTTTTTGCAGCCAGCTACACAGTAAAGTTCCAAACTTTGCATCAAAACTAACCCCCCGCACCAAATCAGAAAATCAATTTCAGAACGAAAACCCTAGCTAACAGTAGAGCAAAACTCACCACAAGTATATATATCAGTAATTTTTAAAAAAGAAACGAACTTTAAGTTATAGATCTTAAAACTGGAACCTCACCAGCACAAAAGCAATTACTTTCACCAAAATTGACAACAACGTTAAACCGAGCAAACTGGGGGGAAAGATCACGGTGGCAGAGCAAAACCTAAGCTTTTGGAAGAAAAGAAACAAAATGGAAGAGGAATCAGCGAAGGGCAGTGATGAAGAAGATGCAGAGAATTTCAGCCAGAATGCGTTTGGCGTTCGGGAGCATTTTTCTTTTGTCTGAAGATTTTGAAGGAGAGAGAAAGAGTGAAAGAGAATTGTGAGCCGTTGGATGGAACGAGCATGGTTCTTGGAAATGCACTTCCGTTTATTGCGGGTGTGATTGGGACCGTTGGATGAGAGCGCGCGTGAAGAGAAAGTGGGGCCCATGAGGTTTGACAATGCATTCATAATGGACTCACTCCGCTCACTAGTTTCCATGCGGAGTCAGTGTGTGTTTTTGTTGGATTAATTAATTTATTTATTTATTTATTAACTAAATTTAATCATACTTGTTGACTTCATAAAAGATAAAATAAAAAAACAAAATGACACCTTATTTAGTATTTACATAATTAATGAAGTACTTTTTTTATACAAATTATTAAGCACTTATCACAGTTACTATTGTTAGTAAAAAATAGTTAGTTTATTAATAGTACTAATTTTAATTTAAAATCGTTCTTTAGGAAAATAAAAAATACTACTGAGGAGGAATTGTGTTTTTAATATCTTAAAAAATAAAAGCCTTTATAGAAATGACGTCTAAAAATGAAGACGACTTGAAAAGAAGACTTTATAAAAGATAAAGTTGGGGCATTTAAAGACAAATGTAGAACACTTTGTAGGATTTGGACAATTTTTTATTTTTTTTTTCAAGTTTCTTTATAAAAAAATTAAGCAAATAAATTTGTAGGTATCACCTTTAACAGCGAAAACCTTACCAATGATAAAAACTGTAATGAAATTTGGTTTTTACTAATTTTATTTATTTATTTATTTTAAGATTTAACAAATGCATTACTTGGGAGTTTTTAATTTAAAAGTCATTTTAAATTTGAAAATCATCAACTTGTCAAAATTTTCAAATTAAATTTTGAAGCTTCTGTTTTTAATATTAACTTCAAACAAACATTTAAACACGAAAAAAAAAGGTGAAACGTGACCTTAACCTTTAAACACTTTTGTATTAGATATGATTAAAGAATATTAAAAGGTTTAATTTTAGTGATGAATAAATATTAACGTTGATAAGCGAGTAACACGATGAACCAGAAACAAAATGAGAAATGAAAAAAAAATAAAAATAAAAACTTTTATATTAGCTTTCTTCCATGACACAGTTGGTTGTGGGAATGATTCATAGAGTTCATAATAATGTTCACGTCACATAACACGAACGATGTCTTTCGTAACACCTCATTGTCTTATTTATATCAATTTTAATAATTAATTATGAAAACTTTGAACTTTTATCAAATGATGTCACGGTATAGTTAACCGATGTATATTTCAAAAGTCAATTTAGCATGTTATAAATTACAAGGCAACAAATTTATTATTATTATTATATATTTATTTCTTTATGATATATTTATTTATTAAAAGAATATTGATTTTTTATTATCAACGATGTAGAAATGATTCATAAATGTTCAATTAGGTTTAAATTATTGAAACATTACTTGATTTAGGTCAATTGTTATAAAATAAGTTAATTATTATATAAATAAGGAAACATAATCATCAACCAAATCAAACACGTTTATTAGGCGAGTTATTAAGAATAAACTATTATAAGTATTAACTAATATAACCAAACGGTCTAATAGATATACGTTGTTATTTCCAATATTATTAAATATCTGAAATTAAACAATTTTTTTATTCACCACCTTTCTTAGAATTTTTCAAAATGTAATTAGTCACATTTTTTTCTCAGTATAAATATATGTCTTCTAGTGGATTAACTGTGGAGATCGATGTGTGACAACTTTTAAATAAAATATTTGTTCAAAAAACAATTTAGTTATGACATAATTTACTTAATAATTATATGTTAATAACTATTATATTAAAACTTATTTTCTTAAAAATACAGTAAATTCAAAACTTTTCAATTACACGTTAAAACATACAACTTTTATGCAAAATTGTTGTAAAATTTTTTAAAGGTTCACTATTGAAAATGACATTTTACGCCACCCAATTGTCATCGTATATCAAAATATTCGACGTAAATAAAATGTGGTGATAATTTTGTAAATAAGAGGTGAAACTTTTACGTCGTATATTGTAGTAGATGACGTTAAAAACCTCTTTTACGTCGCACCTGGTACAGCGCGATGTAAAAGAGAGCTTTTTAAGTCGCGTGGGGGTGTGTGCGACATAAAAAATGATACTTTTTACGTCACGTGGGGGGTGCGCGATGTAAAAAATATCACTTTTTACATCACATGGGGGGTGCGCGACGTAAAAAGTGATACTTTTTACGTCACGTGGGGGTGCGCGACATAAAAAGTATCACTTTTTACGTCACATGGGGGTGCGCTTACGTAAAAGTATCACTTTTTACGTCGCGCACCCCCCACGCGACGTAAAAGAGGCTTTTTACGTCACGTGCTAGGGTGTGCAACGTAAAAAGTTCTTTTTATTCTCTTCCAGACCCACTCCCGCATCTCGCGCTGCAAGGGCTTTTTAGAACGACAACGACAACTACCTTTCCACACCATTTTCGATCATTTTGGCAGTGAAGAACATCAACATTGTGTCTCATTTTACGAATTTGACATTTCTCCCCGATTGGATTCGAGTTTGAAATCGTTTTCGTGTTTACTCAAGGTTAGTGTTCTATGTCTCCTGATATATGTTCAAATTGAATCCGTGATTGTTTTTGGGGATCTCAATCACGTCATTGTATGAATGTCTCCACTGGATTGTTATTGGAATGTCATTATTTTGTTTGAGTGCATTTTCGGTTTACACACTCCATTTACGTGCTTTGTTGTTTGTATATTAATTTATTTTTAAATATAAATTTTGAATCTCTAGGAGTGACGAAACTTTATAACATAATATGAATCGAAGTTAGATGAATGCACGTCATATTAGTGAAGAGTACGAAAAGGAAGTTGATGAATTTTTGAAATTTGCCAATGAAAATGGAAAATGTATTGAATAATATATGACTTTTTTTCATTTTAGAATCGTGTTTATAACTAATATTCTAAGTGGAAAACTCAGAACAAAGACTTTGCAGTTCATTTATCCTAAGGTTAGAAACTTATTATAATAAGTGAATACCATAATTATTGTTTGTATTTAAATTTTGAAAATAACATTATATTTTATTCATCATTTCAGTGTAATAAGCAAACAGACTCATTTGAATGTGGTTACTATGTTATGTATTGGATGAGAGCCATAGTTTGTACGGGTATAACTGATTCTTGGATCGGAGGTAATTGCTTTCAAGCATTAGTTAAGTTTATTTAACTTTATGTGTGTTGCATGTTTACAAGAGTCAAATTAATGTTTCAGGTATTTCAAGATCCATCTTTATTGTCAGAATATGATATCACACAAATTAGAGAATAATGGGCAAGGTTTTTCGTTCAACAATTCTAGTACTTAATTTGTTAGGTTATTGTTTATATTATATTGTGTGTATTATGTAGTTTAGGTAGCTTAGTTTGTACTAACTTTTAGTTTGTATTAACTTTTAGTTTGTAGGTTATTGTTTGTATTATATTGTTTTATTATGTAGTTTGAATTATATATAATATTATATTTTTTAATTACATAACTAAAGAAACCTGAACCTCTGGATTGTTTGGTTATAATATATATTTGCAAGTTTTGGTTGTAAGACAAAATAAACCTAATTTTTTTTAAAGAAAGAGCAAATTTTTTAATTTTTAATACTTTTTACGTCCTGTTTAGTGTAAATATAACGTAAATTAATGTCGGGTCTCGATAATCGACGTGAATTTACGTCGAGCTAAGGGTCCGACGTAAATTTACGTCTCCCGTTTTAACGTCGGTCTTAAATGCGACGTAAAAAAACTCAAAATACCTGACGTAAAACGTTTTTTTTGCACTAGTGGTTCTTCGAAAATTTGTTATCCAACATTCATATGAAGGAAGGAATAAAATCTTTTAAAATTAGAAAAGTTTATCTATAATATTTTTAATCTTCTATATAAATGTGGCTATATTGATTTCTTGATTGAGATAGTAAAAAATATTATTAATTGAGAAGTTGTGTTTGTCCTGATAATATGTCTCAGGAAGACTTTGTAATATTGTTTGATTCAATAATGATCATCAATAATTTAGGATAATCATCAATAATGATAAAATCATATAGTTTTTCACCAAGTCTTAAAGTTTTTTTGGACCAAACAAGTCCATAGGAAACACTTCCATGAGTTTAGTAGTTAAGACTATAGTTGTAGATTTAAAAGAACTTTTATGGGTTTTCCATGTTGTCATGCTTCACAATATATGAGTTTATAAAGATATTTTGGGTAACTCTTTTAACTAAAGACTTTTTATAAAGATTTTAAATATGTTAACGTTGATATGCCTAAGTCTTTTATGCCATAGCCATTTTTCATCTCTTTAAAATTTAAAGATGTTACATTCTAATTACATAGTTTTTCAAAGCTAATAATATAAATGTTATATTTCTTTTTGGGAGAGAATAATACAAAATCATCACTATGTTTTGTTGTGCATTATTTTTTTAAGAAAGACATTGTATATTCATTGTCACAAATTTGACTTATGCTCAGTACGTTATACTTGAATCTTTCTACACAAAGTACAATATTAATGGTAGGTAAAGATTTCTTATCAACCTTACTTATACCTACCACTTTTTCTTTTTAGTGTTGCACGTTTGACAAGTATACCAATTGTTACTTGTATTAATAAAATATCGTCTTTTGATATTGAATTTATTAAATACTAGATTATTAATTTATTTAATTTTGAGCAACTGAAAAATTGGATAAAATGATGAACATACAAAAATAACAAAAATTGAATCAATATAAGAAATGTTATAGGATTGATTTCATACCCTTTCCCATAGATTCCTACCCTTTTCAATTGAAGAGAAAATTGTAATTATCTACTTGAGTTTATTAAGAACTTATTTACCTTTAATTCCTTAGACAGACAAACCTATTCACTCGATTCTAACTTCCAATCTCTTAGGCTAGTTACAAAATTTAATAGAATAATGAAGAACAATTATAATCTCAAATGCAAACTTATTAGATATGACTCATTTCTCAATTGTGACGAAACTTAATCTTTTCTATTTATAATCGCAAGTGAATCCCAATTGTGAAATTGCCCATAAAATGAATATTCAAACCATAAATAGAAAACTGGGATAATTAAAATTAACTAAACATCAATTGTCAAGGTTC